CCCCCCCCCCCCATCCCTGCCAGAAAAGTGACCTCTAACCCAACAAACCCACCCCCTAGACTAAAAAAAGCCCAAATCATCACCGAAGTCCTCGACGACTTCCTCCCAAAATGCAACGTCCTCCCCTCCTACCCCCACCAACCCGTGCATCTCGGAAACGAGCTCAAAAACGCGACCACGCAGTCCCGTCCCAAAGTCCGGATCTTCTGTCCCCATCTCAAGAGGCGTGACATCAAGGGGTTAGCTATCGCACTTACCGACCCCGATGCGCCGTCGAGAGAGAACCCAAAGTGGGGGGAGATGTGTCATTGGATTGGGATTGTGACTTTGGGGAAGGGGAAGGGGAAGGAGGGGGTGCTTGATGTTGAGGTTGGTGAGGGAGTGGAAGATGAGCTTGTTGGGTGTATGTTCTTTCTTTTCAATAATTGGAGATGGTAAGGGAGGATGGGGAAGGGATGTGCTAATATATATATAGACAAGCCACCAGGTCCACCTGAGAAAACGGGGTATCATCGATATATTTTTGTGCTTCTTGAGGGAGAGACTGGCAATTTGACCGCGCCGAGTGAGCGCCGGCATTGGGGAACTGGGAAGGAGAGGCACGGTATTAGAGATTGGGCTAGCAAGGAAGGTTTGAAGGTCATCGGGGCTAATTATTTTGTGGAAGAAAATGAGAAGCAATAAGAGATGGCAAAAGCCGAGCATGAAAGAAGCGTGCTCTCAGATTTGAGCCTAGGAAAATGCGAGTTGAACACATAGACGGAAAGTGGCTCCGGGCATTTGGGCAGAGGGGTGGAGGAACTAACCGCTTGTCAAACGTCAAGACGCATAGGCTAAGAGCTAAGCTGAATGAGCGAATGATATCTGTCAGTGACAGAAAGTTAATGAGCAAGAGGCAAATGTATGAAAGGAATATTTGGGTATATCATTTACTATGTGTACAAAGTATCTCGTGGAGATGTCGCAGCTTCCGATCGATACACAACAGGGAGAAATAATCATTATTTCCCACGTTCCACCCAACCTAGCAGTTTTAAAAGCAAAGCAAAATCTAGCGCAGCAATTGGTCCTTAAGAGGCACAAAGTAAGCTTTGCGGTTCTCATAAAACCTTTGCAAAACTTCAAAATCATCACGGAACGAGAGCCATTTATTCGTCGTCGTCGAATATTTCTTCTACTCTTGGAGCCTGATGCCTTTGCTGTACTGAAGAAGTAGTCATTTGAGGGGCGGCACCCGAGGTTGTTGCTGATGCTGGTGGTGGTTGACCAGTCATGGCAGCCATTGTTGAGCCAGCGTTTGCGGAACCAGTGGTTTTGGACTTCTTCTTTTTCTTCTTCTCCTAAAAAAAGGTGCATTAGTTGATGGGTATGGATCAAAATTTGCAATACGTACTTCTTGCCATCCCCAAACAGGCCTGAAACTATCAAAGAAGCCAACGTCCTCGAACAGGTTGGGATACAGCCATAACCCTGGAGGTACAACAAACATCGTTATGGCAAAGAGGATCAATCGAACAATGGACATAGCGAAGAACAACCCGATTAGACCCAACATTCCCATACTGAGGTACCAAACTCCGAGACGCATTTTCATAGGCCATAGAGGGAAAAGAACAATAGCGAATATGATGGCTAGAGCTCCAGCGGCATACAACTTTTGTTTGATTTGGGAGCCCTCATAGAGCCATACGAAATGCAAGTCTTCTCGGCATTCTTGTTGCTGCTCAATCCTGACGGTCCAGAGACCCTTTGTACGCTTAATCTTGTGCGCGCCTGGCGCATGGTCGTGTCCCTCATGTGGATCAATTTTGGAAACCCGGAGAGCGAGAAGGGACAGAGGAAGGAGTTTGAAGCAGTTCTCAAGCGACGCCCTGTCTGTAATTTCTGGAAGGAGGGGATTCTTGCTTCGTGCTTTGGCGTATTCTGGGGATTGAATTGCTCGGAGAGCTCGTTTGACTGGAGATCTGTTAGATTTGACTTTCGGGTTACATATCCGATGAACTAACCCTTGAACATGTCCTTGCGCTGCCCGTTCAAAATACATGTTCTCATTTTCAGATCCTGACTTTGGAGGAACTTTGCAAGGGCAATGGCAGCTGGATTCGGTGGACCCGGAGTGATAGGTTGCTGCTGCTGCTGCTGATGCTGCTCCTGTTGCGGCGATGACGGTTCCGACCCTGCTTCAGAAGTCTGCTGCTGATGCTGTTGCTGAGCTGCCTGTTGCTGGGCCATGGCTTGTTCTCTGAGTTTTTGTACAAATTCTGGGACTGTCATGCCGTGTTTCTCTGCGTCGATAGCCAATTGCCGTTGCATGGCAGCGATTTGTTCTGGAGTTGGTTGCTGGCCAGGTTGGAGACCAAAAGGATTCTGCCCTTGAGGCGGGGCTTGTTGGCTCGCCATTGTGAGATGCGAAATGCGATCAAGTGGGTGGTGGTGGTGGTGTCGAGAATGCAGTGGGATGGGGAATGCGACTGACGATTCGATTCTCTGTCCTTCAAATTTATGAGTAAGGCGAGGCTGAGAGATTTGTTGCGAGGTGTTCAGTTCAAGAAAGCCCGCGCCCGCCACGTTCACCCGAGCCCGCTCATCGGAGCCGGTGTAAACCGGCCCGACCATTTGTCCTTCAGTACCCTGCCCTATATACTAGATCCTTGGCATACTAGGCAGGGAGCAAAGCTTGAGGTGAAGGGCTGCTATCTCACGTGACTACCGGGACGCAGATCACAGCAATGCGCATGACGGAGGTTCATCTGGTTGAAATTTAATCAGAAATAGAGCATTCATGTCCCAGCGAATCTCTCAGCCATTCTGTGCACTTCCGCTCACGACCTCCGGGCCCACTGGTCTTCGTTCGCCTGGTTTTCCCTGAGAAGTCTGGCCCGTTTATCAACACGCCTCGAGTGGAGTCGAGTCGGTTGTCTCGCTCTTGTTGTCAAGTCAAGCAAGCAAGCAAAACTCCTGTTTTGGACGCGCTATCAACGGCAACTAGAGACTAGAGCCCTCCCCCAACAACCCTTTGCCCTTTTCACCGCAACCTCCTTCATCAACCAAAAATGGCAGCTCTCGGCGAAGACTTGCTCGGCATAGTAAACAAGTTGCAGGATTTGGTCTTCAATACCATCGGAAATGATAGCTTGGATCTGCCCCAGATTGTATGTGCTTGCTTCCAAGGGCTGGAAAGGATAAGGCATAGGTGATCTTTGGCTAACTCACTCGAAGGTGGTGGTAGGTTCACAGTCCGCCGGTAAATCCTCCGTTCTCGAGAACATCGTCGGAAAAGATTTTTTGCCTCGTGGAAGTGGTATCGTCACTCGAAGACCTCTGATTCTCCAACTCATAAACGTCCCATCCGACGATGAAGACGGACCACCACCAGAGCAAGAATGGGCCGAGTTTCACCACATCCCCAACAGAAGATTTACCGAATTTCAAGATGTCAAGCGAGAGATTGAGAATGAAACGGCACGGATAGCTGGAAACAACAAGGGAATCAGTCGTTCGCCAATAAACCTCAAAATCTACTCCCCGCATGTTCTTAGTTTAACACTGGTGGATCTTCCTGGGTTGACAAAGGTAACAATTTGCTTGTGCCTTTTGGTTCGTAGAGATCTATGGCTGATACGAGCTTTATAGGTCCCGATTGGAGATCAGCCAACAGATATCGAGAAGCAGACCCGAAATCTGATTTCTGAATTTATTGCCAAGCCGAACAGTATAATTCTTGCTGTATCTCCTGCGAACGTCGATATTGTGAACTCGGAAGCACTGAAACTTGCCCGCCATGTTGACCCGCTAGGCCGAAGAACTATTGGAGTTCTGACCAAAATTGATCTTATGGACCATGGAACAAATGCCATGGATATCCTGTCAGGACGGGTCTATCCTTTGAAGCTTGGTTTCATTGGTATCGTTAATCGATCCCAACAAGATATTCAGGGTAGCAAGCCTCTGTCAGAGGCCTTAAAGTCGGAAATGGACTTTTTCAAGCACCACCCAGCATATCGGAATATGGCACACAAATGCGGAACTATGTTCCTGGCAAAGAGTTTGAATACAACTCTGATGGCGCACATTCGGGAAAGACTGCCAGACATTAAGGCTAGGTTAAACACCTTGATGGGACAAACCCAACAGGAGCTAGCTAGCTACGGAGACATGCATTTCAGCGGAAGGGAACACCGAGGATCTTTAGTATTGCAACTAATGACTAGATTTGCGACGTCTTTCATTTCGTCGATAGACGGTACATCGACGGATATTTCCACCAAAGAACTCTGTGGTGGTGCCCGGATATACTACATTTTCAACTCGGTTTTTGGAAATTCCTTGGAAACGATTGACCCCACAACAAATCTCTCCGCTCTCGATATTCGAACTGCAATCCGAAACTCGACTGGTCCCAGACCAAGTTTGTTTGTCCCCGAGCTTGCTTTTGATCTCCTAGTAAAGCCTCAAATCAAACTTCTCGAGGTACCGGCTCAGAGATGTGTTGAACTTGTCTATGAGGAGCTCATCAAGATTTGTCACACTTGTGGCTCCACAGAGCTAACTCGATTCCCTCGGCTACAAGCAAAACTGATAGAAGTTGTGTCGGATCTGCTCCGTGAACGTCTTGGGCCTGCTTCGAGCTATGTCGAATCGTTGATTTCGATACAACGTGCATATATTAACACAAACCATCCAAATTTCTTGGGAGCTGCCGCTGCTATGAGCAACGTCGTATCAAACAAGCAAGAAAAGGAAAGAAAACGACTCCTACAAGAAGAACGAGAACGACGTGAAAAAAGACGGCAGAAGGAACTAGGGACCAATGGTTTGGATACACCTGAAGAAGAAGAAGAGCATGCCGGTGAAAAGCTCGAGAATTTACCGGCGCGGAAACAACTTCAACACAAACAAGGTACTCGAAGTATGTCTCCCGCGATTCGCGAGAATGGTATAACGGCAGCGATGAACGGTATGCGATCAGGAGGGGAATTTGGCGGTCAGCCTGCTGGTGGACGAGATTCATTCTTAAACTACTTTTTCGGCAAAGATGGTGCGCCAACATCAGGTCCTGGTGCACCACAAGCTCCCTCACCAACTTCAAACCTTGGAAGGCATGTTAGCCAAAGCGCTGAGCCTATTTTCAGTCAAAGTATTCGCAGACAAGAGGAGCGAGTACATAGAACACCAGCTCAGCAAGCCCGTGAAGATGATTTTGAACTCGGCAGAACTCAGAGAGACTATGACTATAACTCGCCATTCGTAAGTCGCCTAAAGTTCGTCTATGTAGCTATAAGCATAACTGACACTCAACAGGGCAACAGTAATGAACCAGCGCTCACAGACCGAGAAGCTATGGAAACAGAATTAATTCGTGCACTCATCTCATCATATTTCAACATTGTCCGCGAGTCCATCGCAGATCAAGTTCCCAAGGCTGTTATGCATCTTTTGGTAAACCACTCCAAAGAATCAGTCCAGAACCGTCTGGTGAGCGAGCTCTACAAGGATTCCCTCTTCGAAGAGCTCTTGTACGAGGATGATGTGGTGAAGAAGGAGCGCGAGAAGTGCGAGAAGATGCTCAAGACATATAAAGAGGCATCCAAGATCATTGGAGAAGTTGGGATATAGAAACGTGAAACGAATGGGATGTCTAATGTTACAGTGGTTGCATGTTTTGGCGCACGCAGGCAAGCGATTCGGTTCGGTTAGGGATGAAGCAGAACCGCTTTGTAAAATACTCTATTGTTCTGTATTTTTTCCGACTCTGCTTTGGGCTCGGACCTTGGGCGGAACTGTCTATACATAAAGAACTCTAACTCACTCACGGAATTTCGTCATCAAAAGACGGAAGCGTTGGATTTTTTTCCAATACATCTAGTCTCAAAAAATGAACTGGTCAAGCATTTCGTGTTCCCTCGTACGCATTGCATATTCACTAAATACGTGTCTTGTCAAATAGCACTCAGTAAGTGCACATGAGTCAATCGCAAAGATTGTAATCATATCCCTTGCCGCGCTGCACCTTAGAACCAAACGTGGGCAACCATAAACCAATGCTTTCCCACTGAGAGCTTGAGGTCCCACCAATGCCGCAAAGTAGTAGTGAGAACCACAAATAGCACTTCCCCGTGTCACTCCGGCACCCTCAGCCACCGCAGCGTCACCAACGAGTTCTTCGAAAATCAGTCAGTGATGCTCTGCGGGCTCTTTAAAGCGATCACTAAAGGAGGCTGGTGGGTTTGTAGTGAAGGAGGGGAATGGAGGAGAACAAAATGAGAGCTTCATTCTTGAAAACTTGGACACTCGATCTTTTGTAGAATTTTTGAGTCTATTGAGTTCTTCGTTTTGGGTCGTTAAAAAAACTCGGTACAGTATGCCCCGGTAATTCATATCCAAGCCCCTCGGCATCATGGTGGTGCTCAAAGAAGTCTACAATCAATACAGCTCGTAAATGAAACCAAGTGCACCACCAGCATCTCTACACAACGTATCCCACTACCCGAAGACCATGATCAGCCTTCCGTCTCACAGCTTCTAAGCGAAGGGGAACACGTGTATTTACCTGAGAAACTTCAATGTGCAGCTCATCACTTTCGCAATGCGCGTCACCGAATTTGCTAGATTTCCAAAACCTGCAATCACAGCATGTTTTTGTTCCCTTGTATAGTTTGCAGGCTCTCTTGGTCGCGGTGAAATCGAAGAACCCCTGGATGAAGTGTTATGGTGTGTGGCTAAGGACGGATTGGAGTGCAGATATGATCGAGATGAGTTACATCTTTGTCTTTGCAGATTACTTTCATGCCGTAGATTTGTGCCATTGTACTACAAGGCGGTATTAGTTTTCTTGCGCTTTCTTTGCTGGAGGAAAATGTCATCTTACCCGATTGCCAGAGACGCGATGAAGAGGATGAGTGGGAATTGCATTTTGTTGGAAGTCTTGGAGATGTTGTGTTGGTAGTGTGTATTGTGCGCGAGAGCAAGGAAATGGCACCCAGTTGGATGATTGGGCCATCCGGGGGGAAGTGTACATATTCTCTGGCTTCTGGGTTGGATCAATTTATATAGACTAACGTGTGTGTAAATTCCCTTGGTAGGAATGATGCCTTTGTACAAAAAAATTCGATACAAGGATATGGTCGTGGTCTCGGCGATACTGAGGATATAAACAAGGGTATCCTTATAGCGGGTTTCTGACTGTACCATAGGCGACAACAAGGTCGCACGTTTAATTAACAGGGATGTATAATGTAGTAAGAGAGGCGGGTATTACCCTAGATTATAAAAATATTATCCTAAAGACCTCACACAACTAAATCAATTATACAAATAGTTTAGAACAATTGTTACTTTTCAATTCTGATTGTGCTAGGTGAAATAGGACAATTAAGTTACTTGTGCCAGACCTTTGGCATAATAACTTTTGATAGCGTGTACAGAGCAATGTCTAGATATCTTACCTAGTACAGTAATACCTATACAGGATGAGTTTGTATATATAATTCTTGAACTCTTAGTGTAGCTTTCTACTTCAATATCTGAAGTTGTTGGGATTTTACTTAGGGCCACCTGATTCCCACGGGATTTTTTTAGATATAAGTAATCCTAAGGATACCTAGCAGGAAGGATATCTTGTATATAAGTAAGTTCGGGACCTGAAAAATCCAAGGATATCCTTATAGTAAGTATACCCTTGAATCCACCAAAAGACCTCACCCACCTACAAAACTCAGGACTAGAATCCCAACGATATCAACAAGAATCTCCTTCTAGCGGGTATCCTTGTATCGAAGTTTTTCTGTGTGTTGAGGTGACCTTAATACCGTGTGATCATTACCCAGGCAAAAAAAACCACACAGAAGCGTTCAGGCCAACCAAGGTGGATCCCCTCTCCCAGGAAAGTTAGTACAGTAGTAGGAGAGGCGGAGAAAGGGAAGGTTCGCTTAATTATTAACAGTCTATGAAAAAGACCCCAGGACTTGAAGCGTGGGTTGACTTGAATTTTCTCTGAAGGTTCCACAATTAAATCGGCTTGAACATCCCTTTTAGGCTTGAGAGCTACAAACAAATACATGCACTGGAAGTGGATGTAAGTAAGACTGGGTCAAAGTGAGGTTCAAATGCTTAGGCACCTGGTGTAGTTTGTTCTACTGAAGATGCACTCCTTTGCTCCACTTTGAGTGCACATTTTGATCATGCCTCTCGAGTCTAGAAGGGGCACGTCTTCTTGAAAACTGCAGGTACTGTAGTAAAAGCTGGGAACAGGTTCGAATATCTGAGCGATCCGATTGGCCAGCTTGCAAGGGAAGGGGTTTGAGAGCCGAGAAGAACGGACCGAAAGGCCGCTGGGAGACTTCACATAGGGTCTCTACGAGCAGGATGCCGATTATACTACAGCAAGAATGATGTTTCTTCATACAAGAAACTCTCAACTGCTGAATAATAAATAATTTAGCACCTAAATCATCGAGAGCTGTTATGTTCCTAGAAAGTTCTCAGCACAGACAGACATGATACGTCGATATCATAAGAGAGGACTTGTGATATTGATCAAGTTACTGGATAACGTTTCTTAGACAGATAATATTGTGTATAAGATCGGGTTCTAGTTGTATACAATATTGATATCTCATACTAGGTAGCTTTAACCGATCAGATGCCCAGAATCAATCAATCCAACCAAGAAAAGCGGGGAAATTGATTTTTTTAGAGTGCTAACCTTGTTATAAGATAAGGTTTTCGTCCCAGGGCATACTTTTACTTAAATAATTTCGCCTTGTGACTTTATTAATAGGGCATGGGATCATAAAGCGGGGATACTAATAGCACTAGTTGAAAAAACTGGTCGCCTAGCTATACTCAGGTCTCACCATTCTATAATTTCAATCAGCCTTGTTCGAAAGAGATCTATAGATTCCTTGACGATAGCATATGATGTATCAGCCGCACTCAAAGGGAGCCTTCCTTGAACCGTAACCCAATAATTTTGAAACTTGCTCGAAATCCAGTTCGTTTGCCCAGCTATTGCGAATCCCTGGAAGAGCTAGTACCTAATTTAATTTCAGTAGGATCCGTGGTCTATAAGGATTGCAATTTTCAAATTACAGCAGAAATTTTATTCACGCCAGAGACTCACTGCACTTTCTATAGTATAACTTCCGTTTCGCATTATGGAGAGGGCGTTAAACTGTCTAGGGAAGCGAACCGTACGTGGTAAATCTCAGCTCAAACTATTCAGTTTACTAGAATAGAGGAATTGTAGTCCATATATTCCCCGGTTATTTTATTGTTTACATAGACAGAGTAGCAAATCTACTCAAAATTAACTAATCCTTCGTGCCTTGTTAGTGTCCTAATATATAAATTTAAGCTGAGGAAGAACAACTTTTGAATTTCCAAAATTCAGTCTTCAAATGTTAGCTCCATCTTTCGAGACATTAACAAGAGTACACTTATTTCTATCTCTAATTTTCGTAGGCAATTTTACCTAGTACTGGCGCTTCAGAATTTAGCCTGAACTAGATGTAGCGCGTAGGAGAAGGGAATTGACTAACAAGTTGCAACAGATTAGTGACAAATGATTTTGTACAAGGCTCAGGAATTTGCAGCCTACTTTGAAAATGAATTGTTGGTACGACCTGGTGGTCGTGACGACGGCGAATACGGGATTCAGGTCACCTTCTCTTTGGAGGTAACTAAATCGGTGTATTCATTTGTTCGTGAAGAGTAAAGGTAGAGAGATGTGGTGCTCTACGAGCTTAAGTATGTGTGTGGCAAGCCACTCACATGACACCAAGCATGTAGAACCACCAAGCTCTCGTACGAGGTGCTAATCACCATAATTATATACCGACATGAATATTCGGCAGGATTGCAGCCCCAAAACTCTGCAACTCATGGGTCTAGACACAACCCTTGACAATTGAATAGAGTTACAATACTTACCGAAAAAGCTACTTCTAGGTACGGGGGGAGACTTCACTCCACGTGAGGTGGGGCCCCCGCTAAAGCAGCACGGACGGCCGAATGCCAAGCAATTTTAACGTCAACACCTCGATAGCTGCGAGTCCATGATTCAAAATGTCAGAAGCCAAGCAGGTGCAACAACAGGTATGGCCGCTGTCAGACAGCAGGTATTGAACTGGCTGTACAGTGTCCTGACCAGTGTAAGAAACTTGACCTGATTATCTTCTTATTGGCATTCCGCTAATTAGCTTAGGAATACAGAGATGTGAATCGAACCTACAATGATGTTGCGCAGACCCTCTCCCACTACTCCTTGTCTCCACGAACCGATGTTTATAGTACGCAAAGAAACTCCACCCCACCCCCAATTCAAATGAAGCTTTTCCATCTTCATCTTCGCCTTTGATAGCGATTCCGGAACCAAGCTGATGGTATGCGATCTAGCCTACGAGAATGGCGCATCGGCGCTCCTCCTCCATCTCTCGGGCACTCTCCCGGTCAACTTTCGAGGGACAATATACAGGTTTCCAATAGCATTATGGGTGCCGCATGGATATCCATATGAAGCGCCGTTGGTATATGTGACGCCCACGGAGGGAATGGTGGTTAGGCCAGGGCAACATGTTGATCCGCAGGGGAAGATATATCATCCATATTTAGCTGGCTGGGCCGAGTTTTGGGATGTAAGTGAGGTCACCAGAGACGTGCTAAATCTGCGACCAATGCTAACTTTTGGTTGAAATCTAGAAATCTAATATTCTCGATTTTTTGGCTATTTTAAGAGACATCTTTGCAAAAGAGCCACCAGTTATATCGCGACAGCAACCAAAAGCACCACCTAGACCACAAAGTACGGTTGCCCCTCCGCCAGTACCTCCTCCTCCAGGTGTTGGTCGTCCTCGTAGTCAGATTTTCAATTCAGAAGAGCCTGCACGACCCCCTCCGCCCCCACCAAAACCAAATGCCAATCCTCAGCAATACTCCCCACGGAACTCGTTAAGAGGGGATGATGGACCTCCTCTCCCTCCTCTACCCCCTCAAGCAAGTGCTGAAAGCGGGCGGTATCTCCCACAGTCTCCAAATGGCCATTCCCATGCTCCCCAACGAAGCAGCAGTCTGAGATATGAGAGCGGGCCTCCTATGCCCCCTCAGCCCCCAAGACCACAACAAACGAGTGGACACAGTCCTGTTAGTCCAATAACACCACCCCACGATCCATCTGGACAACAAACATACAATCAAACATACCAGCAATCCCAATACATTGGAAATCCACAGCCTGGACCTCCACAGCCTCAGTCTAGGCCCCCATCATATATGCAACCACTGCCATATGGCCCACCCCAACAGCAGCAGCAATGGCAACAATTCCCCCAGAACACTCCTCCGCAGCCACGGCAAAAGCCACCTCCACCACCAGACCTAATAGATGCGCCTCTCACCCTCCCCATACCCACAGAAGCATCCACGAATCTCCCAGCACCTCCAGTTCCTCCCAACCCAGAAAAAGACATGCTTCTCCACAACATCGGAAAAGCACTCTATTCCCAACGCCAACACACCCGCACCCAAACGACTTCCAGTCTCCCGGGTCTAGAATCCCAAAACAAAGCCATGCTCCAAGCTTTGACGGCAATGCAATCCGAGATGGCCGCCTTGGAATCCATGACGGCCCTGCTAAACACCAACACCAGCATCCTCCACACGGCGCTGCACGACGCCGACGCCATCATAGAATCAAGCCAGCACCGTACAGCGCCCAACGTGGACGAGCTCCTGGTCGCACCCACCGTGGTAGGAAACCAGTTGTACGAGTTGGTGAGCGAGGAGAGGAGTATAGGCGATACGTTGTTTGTGCTTGGACGGGCGGTGGAGCGAGGTCGGATCAGCCCGGCGGTCTTCGCGAAGATGACGAGGAGTTTGGCGAGGGAGTGGTACTTGAAGAAGGCTCTTGCAAAGAAGATTGGGAGGGGGATGGGGTTGACTACCACGACGACCTATTGATAGGTAATCCGTAATTTGATTGCATATTGTATACCCATGATTGTGGGTCCTCGCGATTGTGCTCACATATTCTTGTCCAAAGGTTGATACAGTACTGTATTCTGGCTTTTAATAAACGGATCATTGTACGGTTAATGCTGGGTATGCCACAATCTGGAGTGCTCTCAGCATTATTCGCATACAGTAATAATTCAGATTTCTCTCTTATCTTAGGACGCTTGTGTAAAGAATCTGGGTTGCAGGTAATACCACCGCCACTCCTCAAGCTCCCCTTTCAACAAAAATATCAAGAAAAGGATAGTATTTCAACAACAACCAAAGTCTAAACGAAACTACTCTAGCTTACAGTACCAATACTAAACCCTCTTAAACTGCCCTCCAACCCTCAACTTCTCTCGATCCCCCCCAAACCCCGCCTTCTCTCTACAAAGAAGCATCATCCGCTTCATCTCCACCAGTCTCATCGGCTTCGGCTCCTTCAATCCACATTCCGCCTCCTTGACCACCATTCGTTCTAGTTCCTCGCTCGTTCTCGTGAGAAGCGCTTTCGTTTCGTCGTTTTCTTTGTTGTTCTTGCTGTGTCCGGTGCCGTTGGAATCATGCGAGAAGGCATTCCATTTCCCCACGATGTTTTTGCGCTTTCCGAGTTTGCCGCCGGCTGCTCCGTCATGGAATTCTTCCACGATGGCTTCAATTTCGGTCGCGTTTAGTTCGGCTTTGCTGTGCATTTTGGGTTTACTAACATTCTTCCAGCTGGGGAGCTCGAAGAAGGTTTTGCGGGATGCGATGATGGGGTTTGCGCCTTTGCCTGAAAAGCTTCTTTTCTTCAAACGACCGGTTGTCTCTTTTGGTCGTATACCATCTTCGAAAAGCTTGATTCTGTCCACTAAAGTTTTATTTCGTGGACGTTGTGGTGATGTAGGCTCGGGCTTTTTCTCAGACTTGGGACTTGCCAGTGCACTGATTTGAGAAGAGTGAGATTGTGGAATCTTTTCCGGAATTGTAGTCGATGACAGAACTGGCGTCTGTCTGTTGCTAATATCTCGCATCGGCGGAGGTGGTTGTAATTGTAGCTGTGGAGATGATGACTTTTGAGATTTGTGCGAGCTTTCTTGTTGGGATATAGCGGGCTTATTGAGCTTGGTCAACTTAGGATTGACCCGTGGCGAGACTGGAGTTGAATCCTCGACTCTCTGTTGTCCCTCGAACAGTTTCTTTATCTCGGCAACTTTGGATGGGCTAATATCTGGGCCTCCTCGATGGGTAATCACGGTACGCGCACTGCTTTGCCATGGGCTAGGTTTTGTTATGTTTCTACTTGTCGGTGTCTTGGGTGGTTTCTCTGGAGATTCTTTCTTTCCTCTTTCCAGACTCTTTGCTCTGTACAATGCCTCAATCTTGTTTCCAATCTTTGCTTTACTTAGACTTACGCGACTTCCAGTCCCAGATCTTGAAGGCCCAAGAGATTGGTTTCGCTGATATCGTGAGGGAGTCTTGTTTGCTGATCCATTGGTACGAGCTTCAGAGGACTGCTGCTTGACCACAATTCTCGGAAGAGAACGACCACGGAATGAACTTCTTTTGGAACCAGTATCAGGGGTGTCTCTAAATGAACTTTGGCGTCGGGTTCTAGAGGGAGATCTTGGCCGTGTAGTAGACCATTTGGAAGTTGGGAAATGAGTAGAAAAAGACTCTTTTGCTCTGAATCCGAATGCGTGGCTCTGTCTTCTACCCGTGGCTGTATGAGGGGACCCGGTTGATGTGACATAGACAGTGCTGGGCTTTGTGAGGGTTCTTCTTCTGACGGTCGAGTTTCTATTGTCGTTTGTAACCATCGGTGAGAGGAGAAGTGAGACTGGGGTTTCGGAAATCGACGAATCTGCGAACGAGGTTTTTGTTTTGGTATTATGTCGTGTTGAAGCTGCTGTGGACAAAGCTCGTCAGCTTTTCTTCTTGGTGTAAGAGGGAACGAGGTAGTTTCCGAACCTCCATCATAAAACTTGATCATTTCTTTGATTGATCTGTGTCTCTTACTCCCCCCGTTCTCCAAACGGGTTTTCGCAGAAGATAATAAGCGACTTGTATCTTTCAGGTCAGAATCGGACCTCGAACGTCTATTACCTCGTTCGGTAGTCGACGTATTTGATTTCTGAGGCGACATAGACTTGCGAGGACGTCCTTTCCATCTTTTGATTCCAGTGGTTGGTGTACACTCCTCAACACTTACAGAAGGCTCTTGTCTTCGAGGAATAGGCCTTAGACACTCTTCAGAGCCGAGAGGAATGTATCCTTCATATCCTTTACCACCGGGACTGAAAATAGTGGAAAGTCTATCCATGCCAGCTCCATGTCCGTCTCTCCGCCTAGAAGTGTTTCTTGATACCTGCAGAGGAGCAGGTTGAAGTCCAGGGTACCGGTATGGCAGACTGACCGCATCAAGAGCTTCGAACTTGTTGATGATTGAAAAGAGGTTGAGTGATAAGCTTCGTTTCGGGGGCTTTCCGCTGCTTGTTGGGCATAAGCGACGAGGAGAGCTTCCTGGAGTGCGAGTGGATGACTGTGGAGTACTGGGATACACTTGTTGGGGTGTTTGGTAGGATGGCCTATTTGTGTTTTGATTCATATTTTTACCTGGTGTATAGGTATCTGAAAGAGGCGAGGTCAAGTAGAAGTACTGGTACTGGTCAATTGGAAGTGTAGGGAATGCTAAAACATCGCTATGGTACATATTTGGAAAGCATTGCAGAAGTTGCAACATCCCACGTGTCTGGAATCTGGACGCTTCCAATTCGCTGAGAGGGAGTTGATATCCAGAGGCAAGAGCTGTTCTCTTTGACTTTGCCTCTGGATATTTCCATGGTCAGGAAATTTGTGAGGGAGGAGCGTTTCTTACCCGGCTTACCACGTTCACCTCCCATGAACACCTGCAGGTGCAACATAGAAGTCTAACCCTACGCTCCTTCCTCAACTACAATTGTCCATGGCAAAGCCCACGCTATGTACCTAGCCACCTACTTAGCATGGCGGCCGCTGGCGATTGATTCCTGTAAGACCAACACCATCTCCAGAGTCCTCCATTCTGCACCTCCAAACATTGCCTCTTTTGATGCTTTGAATACTGTCAATCCACTGCCCTTTCTGCGTTGAAGATATCGATCCTCGTGGCATACAGTGCAAAATCATGCAAATATTCGTCTTCAAGCTATCTGCGCAGCATCACTTTATCGATTCATTTCCTGTTCCTGGTGTCGTGGGGTCAAATCACTCTCAACTCACTCATGACCCCATCAACACTCTCTTCGCTGCATTCACCACGCCTCGCAACCGCCAATCAACATACGACCTCAGACCCTCCTTTCTTGTCGCTAGGACCCACAACCAACCGCCTGTCCTTCATATACCAAATAAGCGGAGTTTCTTGCAACCAAAAAACGACACGGTGGCCGAGTGGTCAACGCGCCATCTGCGTCCGCAACGACGTAAAACTAGCTAACGGTGAGTAGTCAAGATCTAGACGTTAAACTGCCATATATTCAGCCATATATTCAGCCATCTATTCAAGACATCTACATGACCCATCTGGGAAAGGAGTAAGCCGTACCAATGACCCAGCCCGGTGCGCGCACGGGCTGGATAGGGCGGACGAACCTTTTTGCAAATTTTTATATTTTTTCCCTTATTTGTTTTGCTGCTGGTCATAGTCTCTTGAGTGGGAAGAGGGTGGTGGTTGAGGAGGAGGCTTTTTGGTATTTTTTTGCGATGGGATCTTTGAAGTGATGTATTGAAAATGAAAAGACAGTCGTAGCGCAAATTGCCAAACGTAAACAGGTGATTCGCAACAATAAAACCTTTATTAGAGATTCAATCTGGGTATTCTTAATTACATGCCATGTGCGCTGAGAAAACAAAACCATGCGATCCATCTTAATTAAACCTTTCCTACCGAAGAAGAGAACAAAACACAAGGAAAAGTGTGTGCCATGATAGCGGGCCTGCAAGAATACGATGGTAAGAGTCGTCCCAAGCCCCATCCAACCGAAGCACCCCAGAAGAAATGGTACAGCACAAAAATCGGCTAACCGTTGGTCAGATTATCCTCATTCTTTCTCTCCAAATAAATCGGACGGCCCATCTCTCTTTGATCGAGCAGTTGACCGGTCATCGCTCGTCACAGTATAACTGTTCATCACTCTAATATCCCTCTCGCTCATCTTCTCCAAATCAAACTCCTCATCCGGTTTCGCAGAAGGTCTTCTGGCCTGGTTGTTCAATGGTGTTGCGCCGCTACCTCTTCGCTGTGACAAAACGCCTCCCTTGGGCGTAGTCGAGCAATGGCAACCACCACAAGAACAAGTACGAGATCCCGTCGAGCTTTTGCTACCCCACATATCTTTCGCTGGTAAGATCTTGGTATCGTTGGCATTGGGTGTTGCAGTTGCCCAGAGAGAGGTCAGGGGTAGGAAGAGAGCTACCATTGCTATGGCCAAAGAACCGGACTCGGGGAATTGAGGTGGGTTGGTACACTCTACCATTGTGAAGATACCTAGATAGCTAGTGTCAGATAGTGTGTACATTATGAGGTTTGGAAATGAGCTTAACTGGTAAGAACATAGTATAGAAAGTACCAATAACAAGAACCTCCATCGAAGCCTGTCTCGTCCACTTCTTCGCTCGCCTCGTCCGCAGAATTATAAGCAATTTCCCCGAAAAAACCAAGCAGAACCACCATACCCCCAACATTTCCGACGCCAGTGATCCCTTGATCAGCGATATCTTGTCGAGGAAGTTTTCTTTACCCAGGATTGCTTTGATGATTTCGCCAGTCAGGACGGCGCGAAAGATAACTGCGTTCAACAGAACCAAAACCGATATCCCGATGATGACTCGGAAATATTTGGATGGTATACCAACGTTATGCACCACTGTCTTGGCCTGCAGAACGAGAGACCAATTGATGGTGATGGTTATAAACAAGCCTATGATCGTTGCGGTGATTTGCGTTGCCCGTTGTCCGGTGGAGCTGTAGCTGAAATCGCCCGTGTACATGGTGTAGAAGCTATTATAATCCCCGAAGAAGAACATGGCGAGTAGAATTCGGGAGATGAAGACGAGGAGGAGGGATGTGGCGTTGAGGAAGAAGATGGGGGATTTTCGCTTCTCTCGCCGCGTGAGCAGTAGGAGAACAAGCATGGAGAGTGAGGCCCCGATTTGGGACCCGTAGTTTAGGGATACAGAGACGGCGTAGAAGTGGTCGCTGTCGATTGTGTAGAGGCTGACGTTGTTTTGGACGATGTTGGTTCCGTCCGAGGAGAGGACCGTGATGTTTTGGGTGTAGGGGTCGAAGGTGGAGGCGTTTTGGGTAGACATCTTGGATGGGTTTTTTGCTGTTACTTGGTTTTAGAATGAGCTTGGATGGAAGAGTGGATTGGGGAGAAAACTTACGTTGACAGCTACGATACTTTGATTACGAGGATTGGTACAAGTGCTGTAAAGCTGCTGGACAGCGCTGCAGAATATCCAGTAGCTCCTGTCAGATGTAGAGGGCACCTCGAGTTGCTATTTCAGCGAAACCAAGATATTCTCGAGGATGGATGCCGATCAAGTACCAAAGAAGAGGAAGGTTGTCCGTCGTATTTGTATACCAGACAGGTGGGAAAAGATTCGAGTCGCTGATCGATGAAGAGAGTTGCAGAATCGGTCGTCGTCCTTTCGTATTAAGTAGGAAAAGATAAAATCGAAAATCCAATCCCCGAGATCAATCAATTAAACACCCGTCTCAAAGCTTCGATCACACACGGAATAATAGCAACATGCGTCCATCCATTCATCAATTCTTCACTTCTCGTCCCTCGTATTGTTTCAAAGCTTCACTTCATTTCGCTTCGTCGAAACCCCATAAGATTGTCGCTGGCTGGCGCTGCACGATACAAGTCGTACTCCGTATACTTCGTAATCTTCGTATTATCCCGTCGTTTCGTTTCGTCCAGCTGAAGGTATCTTACACCAGTAACATTAGTAACACTACCTCCAAACAACAATCAAAGAGAAAAAAACAACCCCCCATATTATCACCGCGGGGGTGGGGAAGGCAGGAACAATACTAAGCAAACTCATCAAAAAAATGTGGAACAATCCTCGACCGAAAAGGGGTTGGTGCCATGTCTTCCTTCATATTGTTCTCCGTAGGCGAGGCGTCTAAGCGAGGGGTTGAAAACGTCGCGCGGAACATGGGGACGGCGCCTCTTTTTGCGACGCTTCAAAGAAGTCGTGTTGGAGGGTGAGACTGGTAGGGTATATAGGTTGACTTGTGGTGATTTGATGCAAATCTAATTGTCTAATGTTTGTAGGATGGATGGAGGAGATGTTGCAATTGGATTTCGACCTGTCTTGGCGGGTTATGTGGTATCACGTGACTAGGATGAGTGAGAGATTTGTGAAAGGCCTCGGTTGCCTGTATCTTGGTATACTATAGCTTCTAGCGAATGATTTGCGCACTTGCTTTTTGAATTTGGGGGTGCTCAGGTTTCAATGCCATTCCGTCGTTATATCTCATGCTACTTTTATGAGTCAACTTCCTTGGATCTGTTGCAAATTGTTCCTCGAGCAAACCAACTGATATTCAGGAATCTCTGATTGATCCGATTCTAGTTAATCCAACCGTCTAGTGATTTATCCAAATCATACAGGAACAAGGAACTCGAAGAAGCCACCCCAGTATTTCAATTTACCACTGGCGGAACACAAATTGGTTCCACCTCAGCTCCATTTTCATTCTTTTTCGACAGAGGTATGTTAGTGCTTCGAAAGTGGAACCTCTGCTGTCCCCAACGCGTCCAAGAAAACGTATCACAACTCAATACGGATCTTTCCTCGACCTCTTTTGCGGACATGTCTTGCTGTATCGGGGCCGTGGCTGAACTTTCGATCGGTCTGCTTGGCAGCATAAGAGGGATATGGTTGCGGCGGAAGTCGAATACGGAAGTATAGACAGAACGGTATGCGAGAATACCGAATGAAAGTCCAATCACCATGCCAAAGACGATGTCATTCGCATGGTGTTGCTGTTTAGACAAAAGGTCAGCAGATGCTTTCTTAGCCGCTTTCGACTAATGGCACTAACATAGGAAGTATACATGCTCCCAGAAACGAGTGATGCTACTAGAAGTGGAGAGATGGTAACCATCATGATCCAAAAATGGGATCCGTGGTCCGAAAAAGTCTTCAATTTGGCATTTAAGTAGAGAATTGTAAAAGACCCAGAAGCAAAAGAGTTCGCAGCGTGTCCGCTGGGGAAGCTTTGCAGGCTGTAAGCAACGTCAGAAGTGTTTCTCCATGGGCTCTACGCATCCAAAATTTCAACATACGCCTTTTTAATTTCATAGGGGTCGCCAGTGCACGCAATAACACCAAGCCAATATCTTTCCAGACCAGGCTCTTTTGTAATCGAATTTGGATCCGGTTTACAAGCGTCCATGAAATGTGGACGAAACCCACCAACCACTTGCTTGAGGACCGTACAGACAAATGCCCTGATCATGGAGAGACGATCAGCAGCGGTACCCTAGCGAAAATGATCTATGCAAATTGCAACTTACGTCGCTACAACAGCCTTCAGCACACCCGAGACACCGGCATGCAAATCATAAAGACCTGGCGATTTGAGCTGGAATAGCGCAACGATAATGAGCGGAACCAAGACTACTATGACGCCACACGCCCATGAAGGTATCGGTTCAGGTCTCCACGGATAATCCAATTCTATGGGAGGCCGAAGGCTTGCAAGGCCATAATCCAAAGAAGGCTCGGATACCCAGGGCGACATGGGCACTATTCTATCGTCGAAATAGTATATCGGCATTTTCCAGATCCCTAGAGTAAAGAGAACGAAGGAGAAGATTCCAAGATAATCCAGCCAAACCAAACGTAAAAGTGCTGTTGAAGAAACTTTCTCGTGGCGCGAAACTGGCTCCTTGATGGACATGCTCGAGTTGAGATCCTAGGCATGTGCGCGAGGGCGAATTTGATACAGGTACTCGAGTAATATATAAGGAATGAAAGACGGAAGCAGAGATTGTGTGTACCACAGAAGGTATTCAGAGATGCATCGTAGGATGCGAAAGGAAGTTTTTTAAGGGCAAGAGGATAGCTTGGAGAATTGAAATTGAAATATGAGGCACTTGCTCCAATATCATGAGGTATGAACATCCAAGAGCTCGCAACGTTCAATCGCCTTCAGAAGTAGGTAGTCGCGATCCAGTTGTGCTGAAAATCAAGGCAATCACGGAAGGAAGGCACGACTGAATTCTTTCGCCAACGAAAGTCGGAATTATTGGAAAAACATCGTGAAGCTGTCCCCTCCTCAAGACTTAAAGGTTTTCATCCCAACGAAAAGCATGAAAAGAGCTAGACGAAGAAAAGAGCTAGACGAAAATGCACATGATGATTTTCATGCCCAGCGAGAACCTCCTCAGAATTGCTGGAAGATGTGTTGTTGGCAAAACGTTTGAAGCCCATATAAATCCCCATATAAAACAAAGACCTACCAGTACCCACCCACCCATACAAGATTCGTCAGCTCAATCGTGTGCGTCAATGACTAACATTTTAACACTTCCACAATTGGTAAGAGTATCCGGACTGAGGCACTCCCTAGGTAGGATGATTAATTGTTTGCCCAAATCGATGGGGTATTTTGAAGCAGAAAGACTGGAAACTCCGCTTCGCTATGACTGGTGAATATGGTTATTGATGACTACTTACATCTCTACATTTCATTGTCATGGTGTTGTGGACAAAGCTGGAGAGGCACTTTAGTGGCGCCTACCGGTAGTCGTAGTCGGCCCAGTATCAGATTTTGCCCCTGAGCCTCCGGGTTGGTGAAGGTGGGGGAGTGGGATGCGAGATACATGGGTTACATGGGTTGACCAGAACGCGTTTAAATGACGAATTGGGCAATATATCCTGTCTTTCCCTCTGCATCGGTCTTTTTCTACTTCATCCCATCTTACATTATACCAGATTTGCATTTGTCGTCCCTCGGCCAAAGACGGGCTTGTACGAGTAACCTTAACCCCTTACGTCAACACCAGCACACTGGCGTGCCGAAGACTGGCCTACCCCGCCATTCACTGGGGAGCTAAAGTTACTCCTCCAGCTACCAAAGTGGCTGCCCACCAGCGGTTATCGGTCATTACAAGACAGCTAGATCTTCGGCCTTCAACTTCAACCAGCACCATCACTCTCTCCAGTACAACCTCCAATACACCCTTCAGTTCTACAGCAACCCCAAACCAAGGGAAGTCTAAGATGTCGAGCCAACCTAGCCACAGCACTCTCCTGATTCCAGGTCCCATCGAATTCGATGATGCCGTCCTTCAATCGATGAGCCATTACAGGTAGTCCATTTTGATACCCCTCTATTCTTGTCGGCATGTGCTGATTGGGAAATTCAACAGTGAGAGTCATGTTGGCCCAGCCTTTGTTTCGACTTTCTCCGAAGCTCTTTCTATGCTAAGAAAGCTATTCCAAACTACCGACCCCGCCTCACAGCCGCTCGTTGTATCTGGTTCTGGGACGTTGGGGTGGGATTTGGTAGCAGCCAATTTGGCAGAGCCTGGAGACGAAGTTTTGGTTCTTCATACCGGGTATTTTGCAGATTCGTTCGCAGATTGCTTCGAGACTTATGGCTCCAAAGTCACTCAGCTGAAGGCCCCTATCGGTTCAAGACCACAACTCCCCGAGATTGAGAAGGCATTGAAGGAGAAGAAATATAAACTGTTGACAGTTACCCACGTAGATACATCAACTGGCGTCTTAAGCGAGCTCAAGGCTCTCTCAGAATTGGTTCACAGGATTTCTCCAGAGACCCTCATAATCGTAGATGGTGTATGCAGTGTTGGATCTGAGGAGATTGATTTTGATGGCTGGAAGTTGGATGGCGTTCTCACTGCGTCTCAGAAGGCAATCGGTTGTCCCGCCGGCCTTTCCATCTCAATGTACAGTGGCCGTGCCATCGAAACTTTCAAGGCTAGAAAGACACCACCGGGCTCGTATTTTGCTTCGTTCAAAAACTGGCTTCCAAGTAAGTTGATGTTCTTGTATCTACAGGAAATCAGTGGAGATGTATTAACCATTGAGATAGTCATGCAAAACTACGAAGCAAAGAAGCCTTCATACTTTGCAACTCCATCTCCACAGCTTATCCACGCACTGCATACTGCTCTGACCCAGATTCTGTCAAAACCACTTTCGGAAAGATTCGCAGCGCACCGAGAAATCTCTCAAAAGATTAAGAAGGCTGTCACCGATTTGGACCTGAAGCAGTTGGCATCAAATCCGGCTGATCAGGCTAACGGAATGACTGCAATTTATCTCCCCGAAGGTGTCAAGGCTCCTGAGCTTTTGCCAAATTTGTTCAAAAAGGGTGTCATATTTGCTGGAGGGCTTCACAAGGAGATCGCACCAAAATACATTCGTGTTGGCCACATGGGTGTTAGCGTTGTAAGTTTCATGTCGTTTTTTCCTTTTAAATTGCGATTCTTTGGTTAACCTCGTGTACAGATGGATCCAAAACGTGGTGACATTGATCGGGCAATCAAATCCTTGGAGGCAGGATTGTCAGAGGCTGGTTACACCAAAGCATAACGCGTGGTTAATGCAGAAGCTTCAGCAGCATTGAATAATCTATCTGCGAGGAGAAATAAAACTTATTCCGAGACATTCTTGCTTCATATACATAAACCTTGCACGTTTTTTTGATGATGAAATATATTGATATATTTGCACTTTTTTGTAAGGGGTTGTATCAAATGAGATTCGGAAAGACAAGTTTTCCTTATCAGTCATGATAAGAATACGAAGGAGAATCGAGCAGATATCATTATTGTAAAGCAGTGAGGAAGCCATTCATCCATGTGCTCCGATTGTCGCAATCTTAAACCCGCCTCTTCTTGAATTGCACCATCGGACCGTTACGTACAGAAATATAAGAATCCTGAATCTGAAAGATATTCTGGTTTCGTTTTCCCCACCCGCCATTTGGATTTCCTTCGCCGAGGCTGTTTTCGCCGGTTGGTGGTTTTCGAACTTCCAATCTATGCAGCATCCGAGCTATTGTGATCGAGGGCTCGAGAATAGCGATGTTTTTCCCAGGACAAGATCCAGGTCCCTTCGCGAATGGATGGAAGTTGGCACGAAAGATGTTGACATCTTCTTGGGTTACGCCAGTGCCTTCATCAGGAATCCACCGTTCCGGTCTGAAGACCTCTTCTCCGTAGACGTCTTCATTGTGCCCTGTCTCCCAACCAGAGGCTCCCACAATCGTGCCTTCTTGGTAAAAATCACCATTGATTATTGTACCTCCTTTGCGTACTTGTCTTGGGAGCTCACTGGGGCCACTTGGACTAAGACGCATTGTCTCATCAATGCAAGCCCTGAGGTATGTACAGCCCGTTAGCTCTGGTCCATGAACAATGTCTTCTGGTGTTTGAAAGCGCGATTGGATTTCTTGGACGAGCTTTTGGAGCCTGCATATATCACGAGTAAGATAAAACATTATACCAGCTAGTTGCAGAGAGGTGGTGTCTGTGCCGCCAACAATGAGCATATTTGCTTCAGCATGGAGCTCCCCATCACTATAAGCAGGTCGACCATCGTCATCTTTTGCATCGCACAGAAACCAAAACATATCTTGTCGCTGGGCGCTAACTGCCTCTTTCTTTTGCTCACTATAGAGCGCAAGACGTTTGTCAACACAAGTTTGTACGAAATTAACATAGTTCTTAATATGGGGCGGAGTAATTGATTTGAAGAGATTGTCGAGCCCACCAGGCTTCAGCCAAAGAATTAGCTCCAGCATTGGGGAACGTGTAAGCTGAATTTTCATAGTTAGTAAATGTAAAAAGTTGGGAAGGCAATTAGGAGTTGTTACCGGATAGAAGAACTGCATGTATTGTACGACAGAATGTGGAATGACTCGGAACGGGTTCTCGCCCGGCTCCTTGATGTCAAATGATGTTCAAAGCAGAGATCTCCCATGATGTCGAAGACCAATGTATCAGAAAGATCAGCAAAGTTCATTGGTTCAGACCACTCGCCATCCTGAGTTCCCAAGACAAGTAGCTCAATCCAACGATCCACGTGCTTGACCATAAAAGGTTGCGAGGCCAGAAGGGACTGCTCAGTAAATGACTGATTTAACATTTTACGTTGACGAGCGTGCACCTTCTTCTCTCTTGTAGAGAAAGTGTTCACGTCATACTCATCTTTCTGCCAAGCTTCGTAAAAGGGACCCTTTTGTACATTTGCCTTGTTGCTATAAATGTCACGGTATGCTACAGGATCACAGAACACAACTGTATTCGGGGTTATGCGGACCTTGGGGCCTAGCAGTGTCAGCTACTAATCATAAACATAATGAGTACCTTACCGTATATTTGGAAAAGCTGCCACAGCCATATGTGACGATCACCACTCATGGCAGAGTACCAGGAGGGTAACCCTGACACTCTAGCAAAGAATCGTCCAAGCACTTTGGATAACGGATGAAGAAAAGCATTATAGATAATCTGACAAGCAAGCTTCACGTATTGGAAGAATTAGAGCTGTAAAGCATAAGTAGAGGCAAACCACTGTCACTCACCATTATGATGACTACCGTTATGGAATATGTCACCCAACCCCCAGGAGTGAGTCCAGCAAAACTGTGAGACATTGTGGTTGATGGTAAAATCTTTAAGCAGCTACGCTCAAATGTTGATTCACTGGATTATTGAAAAGCGTGTGAAAGAAACGTCCAATGTCCAACATTAGGAATACGCAGATGATAAGAGAGCAAGGCTTCATCCGTTTGATGTATAGCATAGCCCCACTTGTCCAACATACAGTCTTACGCCTATAAGCCCGCGCCCCTCTGCAGCAAGGCTTCAATACATGGATTTAAAACTCCTGATTTGCAACGAAAGTGGGGTCTTCCCGAGGTACTTGCAAGGGGGAAGGCTGGGGGACATGTGGGTGTGATTAGTTAGCGAGATACGGACTCTAGGCTCTGTGTGACACCAACATACTGTCTCTCCCATCAGCCACAAACCAAAGTCAGTTTCCTCAATTACCCATTATTTCTGAGAATTTTAAAAGCAACCAGATCGATACCATCACATCATCCATGATGGAGAAAAAACTCGGTCAATTACAACCTCTTATGCAGGAGCTCTTTGAGCTCAGTAACTCACCTGGCTTGTCTGTTGGTGTTTTACACCAGGGTGCTCTGTTGATGACCGCTCACTTTGGAAGACTCAGAGCTTCACAGCCAAATCCACCAAATGACGACACTCTCTATACTGTCGCCTCAATAACAAAGCTAATGACGGCGGGCGTCGTTTCCAATCTCGTGGCTCAAGGGCTACTAGATTGGGACACGCCCATCCGTGAATATCTTCCAGAATTTGGAGAGAGAGAAGATATCATTGGCCAAGAAGCAACAGTGACAGACTTTTTAGCAAATCGGTCTGGTCTTTCGCACAAAACACTTTTTGGGGAACTATGAACGAAGACATCTTGACGAACCGAGAACTTCTCCCAAAGTTGGCATGTCACATACCAGCTATCGGGCAATTTCGAAATTCCTTCATCTATTCCACATGGGGCTATGGTCTCGTTACGTCTGCAATTGAGCGAGTGATGGGTAAACCTTTCAGTGCCTGTGTTGAAGAGTACATCTTTCAACCACTTGGTATGCATCGCAGTACCACGAATATTCCACAGATCGAAAATGTGGCCTTCAAGGATTGGGTTGGAAATGACGGAGTCGCACACGAATTCCCATGGTCACTTGATAGAGGCTGGTCTGATGAAACAGGTTTCGCTGGCGCGGTGGCAGCAAGAAGTTCTATGAAAGAGCTGTTGATCATGTACCAGTCACTTTTACATGCATATGACCATTAATTCAGAAACAACGTTGACCATACTTTGGGATCGCCTTTCAAATACACTCGTCGCCTACTCTATCCCCACATTGGAGTTGGGACAGCGTCGCCTGAGAAACAGGGTTACTGTCTAGGAACCTACAGAATGCAACTTCCAGGAGATATCTCCACTGCAAGCTACAACGCCCTTCTTCTGCAACAGAAAAACAGCCGAATCTTTGGGAAATCCCACGCTGGTCGCATCATATTTCATCAAATAGCCACTTTCACTGGTTACAATGAATCCATGCTATTGGATCCTTTGTCTCACACTGCTGTAGTAGTGCTTGTTAATTCGTTGCCATCTTTCGATATCACGGATATTCTTGGAAAGTTACTTCTTGGGGCGATACTAGGAGAGGAGGACCCAACAAACTTCACAAGTTTAGCAAGGTCGGTCAAGGATGTCAACAAGGTGCACTACGAAGTCTACGCAGCAGGTCTCAACAAAAAGAAATCCAACGTAGCCCTAACTTTCCCTTTAACACACTATGAGGGGGAGTACTGGAACAAAGACAGAATTATCTGCTATCAGGTGCATGTCCATGGAGAAGATCAAATTAGGATAAATGTGAAAGGTAGCACATTGACTAATTACATCTTACGTTCTTGGGGGGGAGATCCCTTTGTTCTCTTACCAGACAGAGAAAAGGAACTCTCGCAGAGCATGTGGCCATTCACATCTCTCAAAACTCGCATGTTCAAATTCAACTGTGGCTCTTTGAGTGTACTGAGCTTCACATGGCATCAGGATATAACGCCTGGAAGTACACCAGAAACTTTCACTAAAGACAATCTGGAATTGACGGCGAAGTTGTAGATTGATACAATTATTTTTGTCTTAAAGCAATAGCAAATTTCAATCACTTGACCTATTTTTGTGTCTTATATCAGTCAGTAAGAAAGCAACCCCCCTTTCCAAACTCGTAAAGGTCTTTGAAGACTGCAAACTTCTCAGAATAGCAACAAGTATCATGAAAAGTAGGTATCGCTTATGTAGCCGGCAAGTTAGCAAGGAATACCGGTCAAGCAGGCACCTGGTTCTGTAACGGAAAATCTTCTCCCCTGCAGGTAGATATCATTGCAGGAAGGTCAAGGATTAAACCAACAAGCAGGGGGTGGACAGGGCGAATGGGTTGCCAGCTCAACAATCCGCTCGCGCACCAACATACGATTCCATGGTTGTGCTGTATGCTCACGGCTCAGCAAGTCATATATGCGAAGGTTCTTTCCCAAAGTCTGCTTGGGCCGTCAATTTCTTTACGCCACCAAAACATTACCGTTGAAGTTTACGAACACATCCACTCCATCGAATATGGCTCCAACTGCGGAACAGCTCTTAGCTTTGCCAGCATCTTATATGATGGAGTTCAATCCAGCTGCGCACAACCTTCACGACACTGCTATTGCATTTATTGTTATTGATACTTTTTTTTTGGGCTACTTCTTGTTTCCGCGTATATTCAATTTCAACGTGGCAGCTTAGGCTACGAATTATATGCTTTGATGCCCATTGCCTATGTTGCTGTTGTGGGCAATGCGCTAGTCGGACTCTGTAAGCAACAAAATCCTGAAAGCAGACCATATCCTGATAGTTTCATAGTGCTTGTGAATATTGGCGGAGTTGGGCGTCATTTTTCCTTTTGGTTGTTGAATGACCCACCAACAATTGTGACGTACCTAAAGCTGCAGACAGCAGTTGAGATCATTTATATGGCCTCGGTCACTTTCCCAAAGATTGCAATCCTCACACTCTATTTGAGAATCTTCACCGACCGCTTGGCTCGAGCTCTTACATGGGTGATGGGTGCCATTCTTGCGTTATTCTTTCTCGGCGGCCTCGTTTTGGCTTTGGCTATGTGCCAACCATATCGTTATAAATGGGACAAAACGATAAATGGTCATTGCGGCGATATCCTGGCTGGCTATTAATGAGTCAGCATTCCTAGTATTATCACGGATCTTTTCATTCTCGTCATACCAATCCGCACTCTCTGGTATCTTCATGTAAACAAATACAAGAAGATTGGTCTCTTCCTCACGTTTCTGACTGGTGGCTTGTAAGTAAATTCGCAGCATGTAGTGATCAGATAAATATGCAGCCCTTTGGGATAGACTCACTTGTAGCATTGGAGCTGCGAAATTGGTTTGCGAAGGAGTTACAGGCTGATATCGCTGTATTTGAGATCCTGGGCGACGCAAAGGTCAGCGAGATTGGTATGACTGTAGCAAGAAAAAGCCAATTGCACCAACTTCACTGGAAAGAGTAAGCTAGAAGGCTACCCCCTTTGTTTGAATGGTTCTTACTACAATCTCTTCGCAAAAGTAGCCAGAGAGTTTTATGTACATTTAGACCTTTTTGTGCAGTTTTGTGCAGTTTTGTGCATTTTAGTAGTTTGTTTTTATATTTCTACTATTATATGGCGTAAATAGGTACTTTTCAGCTTTATGCTTCAACTATTTGACCTTAGAGCTAGGGTTAGACTATATAAAGGTGGCGTATAACTCTAGGGTTATATATTTAGCTAAAAATGCCACAATTTGCACAAATCCCTTGATTCTGCCTAATTAAGTGAAGGGACTGTAAAGAGATCACGGCTTTGAGAATGGAGCACACCGAAACACAATCATAAAATTGAAGAGGGCACAGGAGCAGCGTTCGGCATTTGTAATTCCATTCCATTCCAAGACCCCTCTATAAAATATTCCATTCCAAATAGTATAACTGTTAGAATATTCCATTCTAAAGGGTAGAATATCTAGAATTCCAATTGGAATTCCCACGTGACCTGTAAAATAGTAGTTCCCGTCCGAGCAATCAATAGGGAGTCTAGGTTTAGCCTTAGTATTACTATTCGTTATATAGCGTAAACAATATATAGAGTAAGTACGTATAGTACAACCAAGATATAATAAGAGCACGTGCTTATACTAGTAGTGAATACCTACTAATTGCTTGTACGAGTAACACTATTATATAAGGATATATTGAAAGAAATAGAATTGAAAAGGATTGAAAAGAAGGGGAGATTCAGGCTTCAGAGTTATATGTAGGAGATGAGTAATGATCATAGTTTTAGTCTTCACTTTATAATAAAAAGAGCTCTCTTATTGGTTGAAAACTAGGTAATATATATCCTTTGGAATTCCAAATTCCAAGGCCTTATCCTTTGGAATATTCCGTTCCAAATGAGAGAGCCTTTGGAATATTCCACCTTGGAATAGAATTTTAGAATCCTTAGAATCGTATTCCAAGTGCCGAACGCTGCACAGGAGAGTTATCTACAATATCAGAAGACAGATTGAAGAATTTTGGTAGGTACTGAGGTGAGGGTACCTATCTTGTCGCCAAGCTACAACACAACTCCCCCGCTTTCCTTCTGGCTAGCACCCATTCCACAACCCGGAAGATCTTTATCTTACGCTTCTTACATAATTGTTTTCCCCAAACTCATAGCAGAAGTTGGAAATCAAGAGCGTTCGTGTATGTCAACTTTTTATGCTTCTATCACTTTACTACCAGCCAACCTGTCCTCGTCAGAGGCTGGTTACACCAAAGCATAAAGCATAAAACATGATCTAGACGCTTCCGCAGCTTGAATATCTGCGAGGAGAATTAAAACGTAATTAAAGACATTCTGATGTGACCTTTTGCTTTACATGTATAAATTCTCATATGTTCAATGATGAAATATATTGGTGTAATTCGCAACTTTTCGGTTATTGGGCGTGTCACCCAACCACCAGTTAGAATAGCTTCTGTGGTGCAAAGGCCATTGCAGATGGTGGTATCACAGAGAGGGGCGAAGCCCACAACACGTGCTTAAAAAGCAAAACTTATTTTTATCCCCATTGGGATTGGAGGTTTCATTTCGGTTGGACGGTGTCACTGTGAGAGCTTGATTTCTTCCTTTTTCAGGTACCACATGTTTCTATGCTCATGTTTATTCGTGGATCAGGATCTAGAGCAACAATGGTGGCTCAGCTGTGGAAGAATACAAACAAACAATTCTGAAAGCTGTGAAAGCTCGAGGTTGAGTGACACACTCGTACAGTGACCGCTTTTTGGTTTATAAGGATGAAGTCGCTCCGTGTCGTTGTTCCCTGGTACGCAATTTACGTTCGGTCCTTTTCCAAGTCAAACTTTTGAACCTTTCCTCTGCTATAAAGCTCGCGACCGGATATCACAACCGCATCACTTTCGTTTTAACCAAAAGAAGAGAATCCATCATGCTCTTCTCCTCCACCCTCGTTATCGCTGTCGCGGCTTGTGGTGCTATGGGACAAAGCATTGTAGGTCTTCCCTCTCCTTCGCCTTACCTTTTCTATACCGCTCAAATCTTCCTTGCCCTTATCAGTGACTGACACAGCCGTCCAAAGATACCACAAAACGCTACAACTAGAACGGAGCCCACAAGGACTGTCATACCAAGTCTCCTCCCTGTCACGCCTAGACCTACCAATGGAACATCGGGTGTTGTCACTTCGTCCTCTCGGCCCTTGACCACGAGTCGACCCTCAGATGGGACAACTACGAGACCTGGTTCTGCGTCTACGCTCGGGGGTCCCGCTTCTACGGCCAAGCCTACGAGTACTAATGCGGCGAATTACAATTCTGGTGTGGGAGGGGTGCTTGGGGTTGTTGGGGCGGGGGTTCTGGGTTTTGCCTTGGGTTTGTAGGGTTTTGAGGGCGGGTTTGAGTGCTGATGGAGTGAGCCTCGTCGGAGTTGAGTGGAAAGGGAGGGAGAAGGAATTGAGCATGCGTATCGATACTTTTATTCGTATAAGTGTTGTTCTCTGGTTGGGTAATGGAATGAGATATTTCGCGGCTGTGTAAAAGTACATTATTATAATCTGAGTTTTCTGAATGTAATGCAGTCGGTCTGGGAGAACTGGCGAGTATATGTCTTGATCCCTCTAGCCTTATTCTTATATCTCATTTTTGTAGTAGAAACTGCCAATAGCTTACGTAGTGTGAACGTTATTGTATGAAATATCAGACTTGCTTTCACACCACTTCAATTGAAGAATCAAGAAAATGATCTATACTGTACTGAATTACCAAAACCTTCCAGATTCATGCTATTGATAAGTATCTCAAGGTTCACTAATATAAGCGAGTTTTCAGGATTGAAGTGGTGAAATTAAAGCTCATGTAAGCAAGTATCACCTGTTGAATAAAAAGCTTACTATCTGGAATATTCTCTTGTTTCTAGAAGTGACACTGCAAGAGTCAAAAATTGAAAGAAGCTTGTATCAAACCTCGTACAAAGGACAAAGCATCATGTTTTGTTCAATATTGTCTGTTTTGGATGGTGAGGCAAGCTCTATGGGGAGGTTCAAGTTGACTGAAAACCCAGAGAGTTGAATTTCAGAATGCATGCAAATACCTTCCTGCCATCACTGATGTGCTGCTCCAGAGTGAAGAGTCTTTTGTAGCTGGAGGGGAGAAAACTGGCTCACGTGACTGGTTTAAAAGTGGGTCACAGACCAAATCCTTTGGCGCTATTCGTATTTCCGTGCCTCCCAGCCTCATCACCCCGCCATAACCTTACAATTACTGACCTCAAGAACAATTTGCAAATAGTCCACGACCCATCTCTCCCACCAAGCTGATTCCCTCCTCAGCGTGTGCTGCATCTTCGCAGACCTTCAGACGCACATCAGTCCATCGCTGCTGCCAAAGGTCACAACCTTCTTCCTGATACCAGGCGGCGAAGATGGCTCCTACTATTGAAGAGCTTGACGCGACAGTCCGCGCCTTTTATGAAGGCAGAGGGGAGTCTGTAAGTACCAACGCACTTGTCAACTCTTCGTTTTCCTATCAAGCGCACCTACTGACGCGTGAGGTTTATAGCAAAAAGCTGCTCAAGCTACTCTGAACCAGGTACGAACATTTGCGACAAGCCCTGCTTAAGCTGCCCAACCCCCGCTAACACGACATAACATAATAGTTCAAGGAGGATAGCGATGCCTGGCTGCTGGTGGATAAGATATTACAAGATGCGACATATGCACCCACGAAATGTTTGTCTCCAGGTCTCCGCTTGTCAATCAACGCTACTGACAAATCAACATAGATCTGGGATTGCAAGTACTCGACAACGTTATCATGACCCGGTGGAAGGTTCTGCCCAAGGAACAATGTCAAGGTCGGTATTACACGAACCCCGCAGTTTTCAAAAACTAACGCGATTTCTAGGTATTCGAAACTTCGTCGTCAACTTCATTATTCAATGCTCCGGCTCCGAGGAGACCATGGCAGCACAACGAACCCTCCTAAACAAGCTCAATCTCGTTCTCGTTTCTATCCTCAAGCAGGAATGGCCTCACAATTGGCCCACGTTTATCAACGAAATCATATCTTCCTGCCACACGAGTCTGTCCATTTGCGAAAACAACATGGCCATTCTGCGACTGTTGTCTGAGGAGGTTTTCGACTATTCGGCGGAGCAAATGACCTCGACTAAAACAAAGAATCTCAAGACGACGATGTGTGCTGAATTCTCCTCAATCTTCCAGCTTTGCAACGAAGTTTTGAATAGTGCCACTCAATCCAGTCTAATCAAGGCTACGTTGGAGACCCTCCTTCGCTTCTTCAACTGGATCCCCCTTGGATATATCTTTGAGACCCCAATCATTGACACCTTACGCACACGATTCCTCGAGATGCCTGAGTTCCGAAATATCACACTGAAGTGCTTGACGGAGATTGGTGGCCTACAAACCAACCAGATGAATAGCTATGATGAGAAGCTGGTGCAAATGTTTACTGAGGTCTTGACCGCCATTACCAAGATCATTCCTTTAACACTCGACCTCAAGTCTACGTATAGCTCTAGCAACTCTAGGGACCAAGAGTTTATCCAAAATCTTGCCCTGTTCCTAACAAATTTCTTTGGCGTTCATTTAAATGTGAGTTACCCTGAGAGTATATACAAGCTTGACTAACCACATTCAACAGCTCATTGAGAATCTTCCAAATCGCGACTTCCTTACCCACGCCCACTTCTACTTAATTCGAATCTCCCAAATCGACGATCGCGAGATTTTCAAGATCTGTTTGGAATACTGGACCAAGCTAGTTCAGGAATTGTATGAGGAGATGCAAACCCTCCCTATCAATGATCCAAACCCACTTTTGAATATGGGTGTTGGTGGTATAACAAGTCAGGGAGCTCCAAACCCAAGCCTTCTTGCAAACTATCCTCTTCGAAAACACAAGTACAACGAAGTTCTTTCAAATCTCAGAATTGTGATGATTGAAAAGATGGTCCGACCTGAGGAAGTTCTGATTGTCGAGAACGACGAAGGAGAGATTGTCAGAGAGTTCGTAAAGGAGAGCGATACCATTCAACTATACAAGACAACTCGCGAGTGCCTCGTATTCTTGACCCATCTGGATGTCGTAGATACTGAGAACATTATGACTGATAAGCTGGCTCGTCAAGTCGACGGTTCTGAGTGGTCTTGGGCAAATTGCAACACTCTTTGCTGGGCTATCGGATCCATCTCCCTGGCCATGAACGAGGAAACCGAAAAGCGATTTCTCGTTACTGTCATCAAGGACCTTCTTGGTTTGACAGAAATGAAGAGAGGAAAGGACAACAAAGCTGTTGTAGCAAGTAACATTATGTATATCGTTGGCCAATATCCTCGATTCTTGAAGGCACACTGGAAGTTCCTCAAGACGGTTGTCAACAAGCTTTTCGAGTTCATGCATGAGTCTCATGAAGGTGTCCAAGATATGGCTTGCGATACATTCATCAAGATTGCTAGACAATGCAAGAGACATTTCGTGGCACTTCAACCCGGTGAAAACGAACCCTTTATTGAGGAGATTGTTAGAGGCATGCGCAAGATCACCGCCGACCTATCACCTCAACAAGTCCACACTTTCTACGAAGCTTGCGGGTATATGATTGCTGCACAGCCCCAAAAGAACGCACAAGAGAGACTTATTACTGAACTTATGTCTTATCCAAATGCTGCCTGGGATGCTATGATTCAGCAAGCCACTGAAAACCCACAGATTTTGCTTGACGGGGACGCAATCAAGGTTATCGGAAATGTCATGAAGACTAATGTGGCTGCTTGCTCTTCTATTGGGCCCTACTTCTATCCTCAAGTCGGCCGAATTTATATGGACATGTTGAATATGTACCGTGCCACGAGTCAGATGATTTCTGAAGCTGTTGCCCGCGACGGTAAGCTATTTCCCAATTATCGCAAATCTATGCTAACATATTTAAGGTGAAATTGCAACCAAGATGCCCAATGTTCGAGGCCTGAGAACTATCAAAAAGGAGATCTTGAAGCTTATCGAAACATACGTTGAGAAGGCCGATGATCTCGAGGCGGTCCGAACCAACATTGTGCCAGCTCTCTTGGATGCCGTTCTTGTTGATTACAATCGCAACGTACCCAACGCGCGAGATGCCGAGGTCTTGAAGGTCATGTCTACAATTATCACCAAACTTTCTGTACGTTGGACCCCCTATCGTTCCAAGTACTTAAAAGCACATACTCTTCTTGTCCAAGCGTTTACAGGTCATGTGTTTGGAAATTTACTAATGTCCATTGCAGTCACTTATGGAGGACCACGTTCCTATCGTTTTGGAGAATGTCTTCGAATGTACTCTGGAAATGATTAACAAGGATTTTTCGGAATTCCCAGAACATCGTGTCGAGTTTTTCACTCTTCTACGTGCTATCAACCTCAACTGCTTCCCAGGTATGTAGCATCACTTCCCATTCTATGTTCTTTTAGCTAATACATCTCAGCTCTCCTTAGGCTTGACAACAGACAATTCAAGTTTGTTATCGATTCTTGCATGTGGGCTAGTAAGCACGACAACCGCGAGGTTGAGTATGCTGGCCTGAACATGTGCTACGAGTTGATCAAAAACATTGCAGAATCAGATCCCACGACATCGAACGCCTTCTTCCAGCAATTTTTCGTGACTATTCTTCAGGACGTCTTCTTCGTTCTTACTGATACAGATCACAAAGCCGGCTTCAAGTCTCAGTCAGCGTTATTGGCACGCATGTTCTATTATATCCAGCCCGCTGATGGATCCGTCCCTAGGATTCAGGGACCAATTTACAGTGGAGATCAAGCACTTCCTGGAACAGCCAACAAGGAATTCTTAGGCACTTTTGTTGCTACACTCTTGCAAAATGCTTTCCCAAATCTGCAACCGTAAGTCAAATCCCGGGTCCTGAATCTTAAAGCCACTCACTAACTGGCCCCTACTCAGTGCCCAAATCAAATTGTTTGTCGAAGGCTTATTTACGTTCAACAACGATGACGCTCGGTTCAGACTTAATCTTCGTGACTTCCTCATCCAATTGAAGGAGTTCTCAGGCGATAACACAGAGTTGTTTGCTGCCGAAAAGGAGCAACAAGAAAAAGATGCCAAGGCTGCGGAGCGTGAACGTCTCTCCAAGGTCGGTGGTCTTTTGAAGCCTGCTGAAATCGCCGAAGACGACGACGAACTGTGACTGGAAGAGGAACTAAGGAACGAATACGCTAGTGCTCAAGCACAGGATTTATCTTCCGAAACGCTTCCTCGGCAGGCAGATGCTATTGAACAAATGGGTGGTTGGGATATGTACGATTTATGAGCTCAACCAGCCACAACCTTTCACGTGGCCCATGACAAGGCTTCTGAGGATTTCTGGATGACGGGGTTCTCCCCTTTACGCAATTTCTTTCTGCGATTTTATACCACGCTCAGGGGGGTTCATAATACCTGATTTGGAGTTGGGAAGGATCCGATTGTTGTTCTTTTCTTTTTCTTTAAAAATCCTGTCGTGGTCTAGATTTACATTTGAGACGAGATCGTGAAGCGGAATACCTTGCATCAGCGAATACAACAAGGTTGATGCCTCTTTTTTTCTTTGATCGGCGGAAAGTTGGGGGAGGCTAGTGACGAATTGACGGATTGTACGGATGGGGCTGAGTGGGCAAAAGATCAATGGTAATGAGATACGAATGGATGATGTGATGGGAAGTGGTGTAACAGACACAAACCCAATAAATGCACGAATGATACCAAATCTTTCTTCTTCTCCCCCTTTCCTTATATTTTTTACTTTCCCATGGACATGAAGTAGAAAATGACTATAACATGGACTTTTATAAAAATGTATAATGTCTCTTTTGTGCATCTGCGCTTAATTATGGCATTGGTCGTACTGGTGCTATGTAGACACAATGAAATAGACTATGGGCACTCTTCCCACTTCGACACTCTATGACCTATCACTTCTTCAAATATCCCTGGAACTTGGTTCCTTACAATCCTTCGAGATTGTCTTGCACTGCACAAAATTTCTAAAATAGTGGCACAGTATAAAGAGCATGGGTCTTGCTCAGATAACAGAATAGCAAAGATTACGGAAGGAGCCAAGTTTGAATATCGGACGATCAGTTTTTTGGTTGGTGCGCTATGATAGGGGTTTTTTCAATTGAGTGGTTACGTGTTTGGAATAGTCCACAATAAGACAAAAGTCGTCATAGTAAAGCTCTAGTATACTCAGCTAGCTCAACTTGGTACTCGACCACTTAAGTGGTGGCCATTCGTTCAACGTCGTTTGTTCCCCTTACACTGCCTTTGCAGACAGTTTGTACTTCAAGACCACAAATACGGCTGAGGCTTGGTGGTAAGCGAGTCTTTTCATCTACTCATTTAAACTTTTCTAACTCTAGCCATGACACGGCTTTCTGTATTCATTATCAGTAGGTCTTCGCAGAAATACTGCGCGAAAGGTGCAATGTACTGTAATGTACGGTAAAACCCGGTCTAATACCTCACCTACACTAGAATTTCACCTCACCCAAATCACTCAACAAAATTACGACGCACCGGCGTGACAACCTCAAGAATCACTAAAAGAAAATGGCAAAATCTTAAATATCTTAAATACCAACTGCGCAAGAAGTGTGCAAGGGCCTTATGGCAATACGAACACCATCGCTGGCCTCTTTACTACTTCACTTTCATAGGCCGAAGGCGTCACAACTTTATGTCTTGTCATCGGCTCTGTTGCCCCGATGCTATTGCAACCTGGTTAGGAACCACCAGGTTGGTTGATAAGAGCTGGATATGTTACTTGGAGTTGTGACTTGGGAAAAAGATTTGGTTGGGTACAGGTTGCGAGTATATCTGTCCACGCGAGTGTCCGGCTTACGGAGGTACAGGACTTCAACATGTACTGTATTCGTGATATTTGGCGTTGTTCATCGTGTTGTGCTTCATGAGAATTGAAAGTAGGCACGGTTCGTGACGTATTTAAATAGAACGCTCGCTATCCTGAACGATGAGTTTGGGGGGGTAGTATATATAGGAACTTCACTAAATGATCTCCATCTTATTTGCTAACATAATTGATTATATGAACTTGCTGCATATCGCTCTGTGATTCTTTGCGTGTTATCGCAGATGAGACTTTCTAAAAGCTAAATTAGATAAAGCTTGGTACTGTATACCAGACGCTAAATGTGATATCAATCAACCAAGCATCTTCTCCATCTCAGGTATACATGAACCTTTTCTATAGTTTGAAGCAAAACCAACAAGTAAGTAGCCACTCAGCCATCTATTCCCGTAAACCAGCAATACTCTCCTTATCGTTACCGTCATCCGATGTTTAAGTCATGACACTCAAAACTCCTAATCTTCCCTCTTCACCCTCACCCTTCCATCCAACCACAAGATGAATTCTCATGCCCAGACACCTCATTTCAAGTAATCTGCATTCCTGCATCGACATCTTTGAAACCTTTTCCACACTTCTGCCAAACAACAACTCCCAGGCTCGGTCGCTCCAGAGTAGCTTTCCAGATGCGATACAACCTGTTTCGTCGAGTAGAGTGCCGAGTATTTTGGGGTTGAGGTGAAGTGAAACAGCTTGCTTGCAATGGGTACAGGGTGTGGGTGAGGTGTTAGAGAAGCTTGGCACTCCACAGCTAAATAGAAGGTGTCAGTGAAGAAGAGAAACGAATAATGGGAATATAGTTGAATGTACCATTCTCCACACATGAGCATGTTACGTCGATGTAGGGTGTAGAGATTCATCTCCAGAATTATGACATTGATGAACCCAGTAAACACTGCATTTCCATCAGATCTCACCCTTGGAAAACATTAGAATCTCCAAAGACTACGATGAGCCAGAAGCAGTGAGATACTCACCACCTCTCTAACTCAGCTAACGTGAAGAAAATTCTCTCAACCCCATATTCCGCAGCCTCTACATCCCAGACGCCTTCCGGAAATGCCAAGCTCAAGCTCTCACGCTTCGTCAATCCCATCGCATACTTTCTCAACCACTCCGCATCAGGAAATTGCGGGTCAACATCTACCATCGTTGGTCGAACCATACCCACAGTCCCCTTCCCATTATGTCCAACGCGATATCCGGGGTTGGAAATCAGCAAAATCGTCACTCCGGGTTGCCAATCTTTAACATTATCACCAATCTCGTTCCAAGCCGTGAAACGGACTTCGCCCGTGTGGTCAAATAAAAGCACTTCAATCAAATCCGAGGATCCACCCGTTTTGTTGGGGATTTTCTTGAGAGGTCCAATGCTCTTGACGCAGACGAGGATTTTGACTCCGTTGACGCCATCGTGACCGCCGGCTAAGTAGCTGGATAGCGACATGAGACCAGAGAGAGGTTGGGATTTGCGGTACTCGAGGGGAATGCGACAGATGGTTGAAGCGCTGTCACTGGTATGGATCATAAAAAGATCGGACGTTACGCGACCGGGAAAGAGGTTACCATATACGGTTATTCCTGGGATATTAGAGAGCCCATGTTTGGAGGGATTGGAGATAAAGCCTGTCCAAACAGATACCAATTGTCCCAGTTTGATAGGGTAAGCATTTGGCGCAAAGTAGAGCTTGATCTATAGAATCTCCACGTCAGCGCCAGAATATGTACAGGAAGAAGAATACCGTACGTGGATGGCGGCGGTGTTATCCTTGAGTAGCAGGTTATGCCAACCCGCTGCCTTTTTCTCGACGCTGGATGAACCTTTGATGGTGCTGAAATTGACAACTCGGCCCTGGAAAGTGACGAAGTTGGGCCCGGGGACTAGCTTGTGGATTGTCGATTCCTCATACTCGCGCGATGGGGACCATTTGCGACTCATTGGGTCCTTTGCTTGGAGTAGTTCTTCTTCGTTGAAGCCGTCATCGCAGCGACTTGAGATCTCTGGTTCAGTCGTGTTTGGGCGCGTCTTTTCGGCGGGGACTTCCCGTTTGTAGAACGAATGGATGGAGGGATATGATTGAGGCATGATTTAATGATAAAGGGAGAGCGTTGTGATAATATAGACGCTGCTCGCTGCCGAGGGCGTTGAGTCTGATGGAGTTGAGTGTGAGAGGTTTCTGGCGCACTCCGAGAAATCACCCGCGAAATAAGCGAAGTAGGAAAGAGACTAGTCAACCTACATAGTTACCAATTTGTAAGAAATCACACTAGGGAATTCTGCGATGGACTGTCTTACTGTAGATGTGATAAGAGCCACTAATTTTCTTGGGCAATCTTTGTGCCAAAAACTACGGATAAGCCTACTGTACCATATATTCAAGCCTTGAAAACCAGAAAAGAAACTGTCGAGCCTTGATTGAAGGGACAAAAAAAGTGAGAGAAACACGCGGCCTATGTAACCACGTTCGATAATTTCCCATCGGTTCCTAACTTCAGGAGAATCCAAACACTCGCCAAACATCATGGCAGTAAAACAACATAGCCCAACTATCCGAAACCCATTGGATTCCCTTAGAATAACTGTCAAATTACAGCCTTTTAGTATGAAAGCCGTATCTCCAGTGCGAAATATTACATGTCCCAGGCAAATTCCCCCCTCCCCCCTGTTGTCATCGGAGAAGCCCCTAGGCATCTGTCAATTTCCTCAAGGGTCACGCTTTGTTTCTTCCGTGTGTGAGATACAAAATTCCCTCAAAACAATAGGAGAATCATAGACCCAGTAACAGAAAATATCATAGTTACAATTTTAGAACGATTAAGCATATGCTTATAATACTAGAAGATTATTCAAATCCATGAGGTGAAAAGCTACGTTTTCCATGAAAACGTAGCCCATTTTTAAAGTGAATAGTGGTAGATTTTCAAGTCCATGTTCTGATGGACCCAAGTTGACAATCTTGGGCTATGTGTACTGTAAGAGTTCCTACACCCACACGCGTGCTGTGACAGTTTTTGATTTAGTGAATAAGGGTTCGCTTAGCGAAGTTGCGGGTGTACCCTTCCGTAGATAGACAAATACCTAAGGAGTGCGAAGAGCGTCTCTCTTCCCTCCTTGCGAACAATCTATTCCTTGATCCCCACCATAACACGTGCCACGGTGAAGCCAGAAAGCAGTGACAATCCAAGTATTTTCGGCGTTCGCTACTGGAAGAGGGATAGGTTTTGCAAACTATTTCCACGGAAATTTATCAGAATTTAAAATTTCCTCTTCGCTTCAAGTTAAAGGATCTGAGTTGAAAGTCTATTTTTAGTAAATGTATCGAGTATCTGTCGACTTGGTACTTGGTAACTCATATTAAACGGGTCTTAAAAGTTTCGAAATTGCAATAACAACGTCAACCTCTCCAAAAACTACTATGTCCGCTCCGGTTTCCTGGTTGAACTAGATGCGAAGCTCGATTGGTCCCAGTGTACGTCCCTCGATCCATGCGACCTCCATGGCTGGCGATCAAGGTTCCCTGGTCGTTGTAGAACCCTGATGACCCCGCCGATCCTGGAAACTATGCCAGCGTTCGCTGCAGGCAATCTATTATATAGCGAAAGAGATCCGCGATATTTATTTTCTTTCCCCTATATTGCAACTCTGCAGCAGACGAAGAAGCTACACGTTTTGCTTGCTCTAGCTTAACTTTGCCAGGTTAGCAAACAACAGATTCAATGGACAGCATGGAGCACGTACGTTGTCTAAGATTCTCCAGCTTCATTTTTATCTCCTCGAGCGCCATCTCTGTCTCGGCCAACCTAATAGCAAGATAGGCGTTGGGCTTCACATAACTAGATCCTTGCCCTTCACTTGGAGGATCAAAGATTTTACCCTCCCGGATCCATTTACAGATAGCTTCATATCTGTCCAAAAGAGCAACTGCAGCTTCTCCGTCTTCCTTATCTCTAGGATTTCGACCGCGCTTCAAAAGTGAGTCTCTCCACGCTTGATCGTTGATGTCCGAAATCCGTTGGCCTTCTGGTATGCCTATATCCAGAGCATAACAGTAAAGCTCTCCTAGTTTGTTTTTCTCTAGCCGGTAATCCAGAATTGCGTTTAGATCGGAAAGCTCCTTGAACTCGAATTCGGTGCCTTTGATCAACTCGTCGAACTGAGAATGGCAGCTTGTGTTGCAAACTCCGTCATCAGGGCCCGGTCTTGAGTACATGTATATGGTCGCTTTGACTTTAGCGATGTTGTGAAAAGCGCGTAAACTTCCTGATATGCTAGGGCCAGTCGTTGAGCCAGCAGGTGCGTCGAGTTCTGCCATTATTGGAGCTTGTCGAGGTGTGCGAAAATGGTTTGTGGGTGTAGTTCTTTATTAAGGGGTGTAGTTGGGGAAAGCAAATCGCGGACTGAAGTTCTTTTATAGTTCTGAACTTTGGATCGATAGTTATGATGAAATAAAAGCGGCCTCTTCTAATGTTGAGTTAGTACAAGCGGCCTGGTTTGTGCACGTGGGGCGCAGCTGACGGGCGAGTTATTAGTATATGGTGTCGTGATCTAGCTGGAAGGCTAAATATTCTCCCCAAAAACTCCATAGGACCCGGAAATCGTAATCCTAAAATGAGCCTGATTTCAATTCCAGAAGAAAGTGTTATTCAGATTGGTAGCAAGAAGCCATTCCAACTCAAACAAACACCCAACCGAGCTACAGTATCCTTTAGAATAATCGAGCATGGCTCCAAGTAGACAGGAAGAACGAGAACAGATCATTCTCTCGTTGTTCCTTCTTTCCAAATTCATCCAAGTAACTATCCGGAGCTTTCTGGAATTCACCGTGATTGTCCCTGAACTTTCTGCTAATGAGTTCAGTTGTCCGAAATAAGAAGAATAAATTAAAAGCATAAATAAGGTTGCGATAACTAGGAAGTTGTTTACTGTTACTAGTACATCATCACGAGACTAGCGCAGCAAAGCATCCAAAAAGGGTCAAAACCCCACCAAAAAAAATCAAAACCTAACATTTTAACCAGCAAAACCAATAGTCCTGTACCCTTGGGCCAGGGCCACCTCTCTACCCGTGCATAGAGACTTACCCCAACCTACCCCGCAGAATAGGAGATATACCTTTCTAGGGGTACGTTTTACGAGGCCTCAGGGTTTATTGCAGTAAGAGTGGGCCCTTGGTGCCTTCTGAGTACGCAGGCGGCTTGTTTCACACGCCAACCGTTAGGCCATTGTGCTAGTTTGCGCTACTCAATCGCTGCGTGGTGGAATTTGCTTATTAGCGGAATATAAAGAACATACATGTTGTGTGGGCCCTCGCTAATTGGTCGCCAGACTCGGTAGGCGATGGTGAATCCAAGGGCCGCGGAACTGGTGGTCGAAAGAAGATACAGTTGGAGAGTCGGTTGGGGCGCTAAAATTCTTTCTTGATAATCTCTTTTGATGAAGTCCTTGACAAAAACATGTTGTTTCTTGTTTCTTGCGCGTTTGGTGGGCTGGGAACGGGAGAGGGGAGAGCTTGAGGATATTGAATAGAATGCGATTTGAGGGGGTGTCTTCGCTTCAGTGTCGAGCAAGGAGCCGTCACTTCCCTTCAATGTCTGCCTCGACCTCATGATAAGCTAAAAGAGTCTGTGGAGGGAAGAGACCATTTCAATATCTATCCGAGCCAGAATGCTGCCTTCTCAAAGGCGTATTGCCAGGGGGGGAGGGGGGAGATTTAGAATAATGGGGGAGGTTCTTCGGCCTTCGATTCGGATAAAATGAACCATTACTTATATCTTGAGGTCTCTTAGTGGATCATCTTTGGGATTTCAGAAACAAACTGAAGTCCTTAAGTCGTTCCTTCCTTCTGCTAGAAGGGCGAGCCGACAAATCGATGTCTCAACTTCCTCCTGATAAGGAGGGTTGAGAGGAACGCTCCTGCCCTGATACAATTCCAGAATGCCCCGTCTCTCAAAGACTTTGTGTTCCCAAACTACCCAACATCAAACCATTTCCTACATAAGCTGAAGCTCAGTCTCGAACCGCGACGCTTGTTGCTTCCAGCGTTCGCAGAAGGGTTTTCGGCGTCCATTCATTATTTTCCTATAATATCCTCTTTTTCATACTATTGATTGATCGCTTTGCGCTTCATTCCGCTCGCTTCGCAACCCTGCAGGTTTTGGTTACTCTCTTGGAATAGCTCTTATCTGCCTATATCTTGTCTTGGAAATACCCTTTCTGGTACGTGTTGACGAATTTGAAATCCTATTTGGATTTAGCTGATGAAGGCAGCTCTTACGCACATATTTCGAGCCTTTCGATACGGTCAAACATTTTTAACCCTCCTCTCTCCTCCTCATTCGAAACATTGCCCGAGAAGCTCGATATGTGAGAGGGCTCCCTCTCCCAATCATCGCCAATAATGTCACCTCCTCAGTTACCTCCTCACCCCAATGTAACATCTTCCAATATGAGTTTTACGCATGTGATGATGAGCAATCTTACCGCCTTGGAAGGACACTTTGTCACAACAAGCTATAATCCAGGATATATGATTCTCTCTTTTGTGATCGGCTATGTTGGAGCTTGGTCAACTATGGAACTCATACATCATAGAACCTCTTCGAAAGGACGTTACAATTGGTATGTTTCAATTGTCAATTACAAGATATCTCTAACCGTTTGACAGGCTCATGCTTGTAGGCGCTTCAATTTTGATGGGTGGCATAGCAACTTGGTGCATGCACTTTGTCGGTATTCGTGCTATAATTCTCGGAGACGGGCAATCCCAAATTCAGGTTGCATACAGCCCGGGGTTCACTGTGCTTTCATTTTTCCTTCCCATGCTTCTTGTGATGCTTGCATTCTGGACCGCTGGACCGAATGAGACAGTGAGCATATCGCGTGTGTGCTTGGGTGGAACACTTGCTGGCTTGGGGTTCTGCATTTCGAATTACCTGGGACAAGCCGGTATCTCGAATTATGCGTGCTTCTACATTGTTGGTTACTTCATTGCTTCGGCCGCCATATCGATTCTTGCAAGTGTCACTGCGCTCGGAGTCTTATTACATTTTCGAGCAACATGGAGAATCTTCTGGTGGAAGAGAGCTAGCTCTGCCGCCATATTTTCAATTGGAATTGCGGCAGCAAACTGGTTCAGCATTTGCGGCACAGAATATCAATTGAAAAAAGTCGAAAAAACTATCACGAGCAACCGAACGACATCAATATCAACGATCATAGTTATATCTTTGGTAAACTCATCCCAATTTCACATCTTCTACTCCTACTCCTACTGATATCTGATTACAAATAGTCGATTGTCGGATGCTTAGCCTGCATTGGTGTCCAAGTTCTTGCTCACAAAAGGAAAAAGGATGCCAGGAATCGTGCGCAGCAAGTTGTCCTTGCAGCAGCCATCTTTGACAAGGACGACAGAATTTTAGTAACCCCAAATGGTCTTTTGCCTACCAAAAAAATAACACAGCAGTTTCTCGAACGGGTAATCTCGGGGCACCGTTATCTTGAAAGTATCAAGGGTTGACTAACTGTTGATAGTCTTTCGCCGATGTGTTTACCTCTTCTCACCCGGTATTCCTCTGGATCTTGAGAACAAGCTACTATTGGCCTGGCATCTACAATCTTGTGACCCCAATGCGTAAACACATTGAAAGTGCTGGTCTCAAACACCAGCATTTTAGGTCAAGATCCCAGACCAATCTTCTGGCCGAGGATGGCGAACCTGTTGAAGAATATGCTATCATTTTTCGGGAGTTGTACTGTATAGCGGCAGCCGATTTGGCGAAGGACCTTGGTCGAGACCTAACCCAGATGGGCGTATTGTACGAAGAAATCATAAATACGGGACATAAGCCGGCAACTTCTTCACGAAAGAAGAGTCTTGCAACTTTGACTAGCAGAGGGAGAAGAGGCCAGATTGATGCGGAGCGTGCAACTATAGCTCCTGGTGGTGAGGTTTTGGGAAAAGGTCAACTGCTTTTCCTGATAAGTAGAGTGATTGGAGACGACGCAGATGCACTTGTTACGGCTGGATATCGATGGGCGTCACGAGAGGCAGTTCTCCCGTTTTTGGCATCCAGTCTTGAAATTTCCCACAGTGAGATCAAAAGTCAACTCGAGTTGATGATTGACTACATTGGCGACAACCATATCCTCGAACCTGGTGTGCATATCGCTTTCTTTGCTCTTCGAGCTTCGATCGGTTCGGGCTTTGATATCCTTGCACGAAAAGATTCCAAAAATTTGCTGCCAACGATGCAACTTCCTGTGGATGAGCTTGAGGAGGCACATGTGGATTACCTCAAACAATTCCCGCTGCAAACTGTCGCCGTTACGATGAAAGCCTTCAAAATGGCCGCGAAACCTGAGAACAGAGATGAGAAAATACGTTCTTTCGCCCAAGCCATGGTAGCAGCAATCGAAGTATTAAAAGAGGAGATAGATGACCCTATATTCAACGAGGCTCAGCTGATTGTGAGTCCAATCGAAGCGCCGTGTCGTGGGAATACAGTGACTTGCGAAACAAGAACCGCACTACTCATAGCTTACAAACTCATTTTCCCCATTCATGTTCATGCACCGGGAAGGAAATTACAGTTCGTGCCATTGAACTTGTTTCAAACTGAGCAACGTATATATCCCAATTCCCCTGATCATGCGAAGTTCGCACGACAAAGCTATCGACTCTTCTCCAGAGTCCTGGACTTGAGCGAAATTGATATTGAGAACGCGACGGTCATGGATCAAACCAAGGGCGGGTTCTCGCTCCGGAAGGCTTTGTTTGACAAAGCGAGATCGAGAAGTGTACGGGCGGAGGCGACGGATGATTCTGTTACTACTCCTGGAGCGGAGTCAAACCTGCTACCAGGTAAGTTCTGGGGTAAGGGTAAGAAAGGGAGGGAGGGGGGTTCACAGGAGCAGTCACTTATGGAGGGACAAGAGGGGATTCCGATGAAAAAGTTGCCAGCTACCGGAAGTATGATGACTGGAAGTGTCATGAGTAAGTCGGGGAGGAATAAGAATGTGGAGAGAGACAAGAATGATGAGGATAAGAGGACGTATGTTGATGAGATGTTTACTATTGCCGTTAAGACCAAGGGAGGGGCGAGGGTTTGAGGTGTCTTTTTTTTTCTCATGTTAGTTGGGGGAAAAGAGAATGGTTCTTGTGGGGTTTGTTGGGTTAGATTGAGATTGGTTTAGAAACCGGACATCGGGTTGGAGAGGCGATGCGGCTTCGACTAGCTGGAGGACTTCCCTTTTGTAATAATCCTAGGAACATTCCGAGCTTCTTGTATATTTTGTCGTAGGAAAAAGAAAAGAAAATGACCCTCTTGTCTTCTTTGTGCTGAGATTGTGGAGTGGATTGTGGTATGCTTGAATTGAACTGTGGACATGCATTTGGTGGTTTGATGGAGAAAGAGGGGTATGTAATGGAGGTCTTAGAGTGGATAACCGGCTTCTAGCCGTCAATCTGTTTTTGGTCCTTTGGGGGGACTTTCGGTTTGATGACGGGATTGATTTCAATGGTTCAAGTGATCACTTGGGAATGGAATGTGTGAAGGTGGGCTTTCCCTTTTTTCCCTTCTTTTTTATTGCCTGAAATCTGATTTTCTCTTCTAATCTTGTTCGAGTGGAAATTTTATCTACTAAAGGTAGGTAGGTAGGTATGTGGCTACCAGTAAGAGAGGCGGCCGGGCATTACTCCGTACACCCCTAAGCTAGGTTATCAAAACATTATCCTAAAGACCTTACACAACTCAATCCATTATACGAATAGTTTAGAACAATTACAGTAGTACTTTTCGGTTCTGATTGTGCGAGGTGAAATTGGACAAGTAAGTTACTTGTGCTGGACCTTTGGTATGATGACTTTTGATAGCGTGGACGGAGAAATGCTTAGATATCTTGGTGTAGCTAGGCAGAATTGAGTGGGGGTTGGGTTGAGTGAGGTTTAAGTACATTAGTTATATGGCTTGTATAGATTGTTTAGAAGAGAGGTTATAGAGTACTCGGGTACAGTACTATAATACGAGAGAGAAAAGGGGGAGAGGATAATGGATGGATGGATGTATGTATAGTCTATAGAACTTCACATAATAGAAATAAAATCAAAATCAAAATCGGAACGGGAATGGGAATGGGAATTCCGAGTTCTTCAAAGAGGAAAATGAAGGGGGAAGAGGGAAGAAGAAAGGGGGATGGTTGGATAGATAGGATATACTTACCAGTACAGTAAAGTAGTGAGATATCTCGAGGCTGGTTGGTGGAGAGATTTGCATGTATGCGATAGTCTGTAAAAGTATGACTGTATGGATGATTAAAGAAGTGGGGAAGGGGGGAGGGGGAAGGGGGGATGAGTGAGAGTATACTACTGTATAACTTACAGTATTGATTTATAATTCATAATCTATATACTACTGTATAAACTCATAATCTAGGTCTAATACTCTAGGTATTTAACTTTACAAAGACAAGATAAGATAAGCTAGGTGATTGATTAGTTTAGTAAACCACTAACCTTCTACTGTAACTATATCCTAGAGGCTAAATCTTGTATACATACTCAGGAGATGATAGAAATTCGTATTCCTATTCCTCTTCAAGGAGAAGGAGAGAGGGCAGAGGAATGGGGAAGATTTCTTTCGTTTGGTTTGCTTTTTTACTTGTTTTTCTTCTAGATCTTCTTCTTTTTGGTACTGTATAAGATGGTAGAAATACATGGTGGACATCTGGTATATTAACACACAAGACCCCCTTCTCAAAAAATCAGGAATAAAATTCATCCAAACAAAAAAAAGAAGACGAGAAAGTCTCCCTAACCTAACCTACCCTAAATCAAAGAAAGAAAGAAAACCTATACGCCACGCTATGCCTCAACCTCAAACCAACCCCCACCAGTTCACGAAAGCCCCTCCTGTGCCTCCTGCAAAGATCCTAGAACATTCTGCGCATAATCCTCCGCGTCTTTGCTAATGGTACTCATATTAATCCGACTCTCCAGCGCATGATTCACACTCTCAATCACCTCCCTCTCCTCCATCAACTGGCCCATCAGTGTCCCCTCCGTGACCCAATACTCGCGACTCTTCTCCCTCAAGCCCTCATCGCGATTGATGGTATTCCGCAGGATGGACATGGCGCTCATCTTACTCCTCACACTATCCAGCATCCGCGTCGTGGCTTCGACACGTGCCGCAGGCGACGGAGGAACCACGAAAGCCCGGTTCGTGCTGGAGAGGTAGAGCATCCAGCCCGTCATGCCGTCGAGGATGGCGAGGGAGATGAAGCGGTAGGTACGGACTTTCCAGAAAAACGGCTCGATTGCGGAGAGTGTTGTTGCGCGCGAGTTTTCCTGGTGGTTGTAGGTTGAGACTGTGTAGATGTCGATCAGGGCTAGGACTACACCTAGTATCGTGACGGATTTGCGCCAGACGGCCCCCTCCTTCCCGCTCCATAGACCGCTGGTGCAGAGCGCGAGGATGAAGAGGTTTATTAGGTGTGGGGCGAGGAGCGAGGGGAGGTGATAGTAGAGGTATGGATTTGCGTCTTCGGGTTGGCAGAATTGGCAGTTTGCTAGAACGTCGGGACCGAATTGGAAGTAGAGTAATCTTGACTCGAGAGAGTTTATTTTGTTGCGGAGGAGACTGTCTGTTTCTGTGAGGCCATTTTCGCGGACGGTGGTGAGACGAGTGAAGAGGACGTCGGTGGGGATTTGGAGTCGGGATTGGGTTATAGCGAAGATGTTGTCGGGCGCAAAGGGAGGTAAAGACCGGGTGAGGAATAGAGAGGAGGCGATAAAGAGGAGGAATAGAGCTCTGGAGACCGGTGCTGGAATGGGACGGATGGGGATGCCATGAGTATTTTGGCTACGTAGTGAGCGGTAGAATGCGATGACTTTGGGGAGAAGTATTGGACCAAAGAATAAGAGCAGGGACTTGACACTGTGGAGTATTAGCTTGGCTTTCAGTACAAAGATTGAAAGATGGAGTTTTACTTACGTCCCCCAAGATATCCCCATGATTGTAGAAGTGCTTATGCGATTGAAAGCATGGAGGGGATCAAGACACGGTTCATTGTTGTACCTTAAAGTTGGGAGATTCTGCCATTGACAGCCGCCGTAAGGGGACTAGCGTGGACGCTAAGCCTTATCGGAACCCATCCCGCTTTTCTCAAGCCTTTATTTTTGAATTTTCCTGCCACAATTTTTCATCCAAACTATCCAAACACAAATGGTTCAGACCTCAAGGTTTCCTAGGTTCAAAAGACTCAAATTTTCAAGGATGTCAGGTTTGTATATACGATAGTCAACCCTATCTCTTCTCTCTTACGATTTCCTCATCTTGTCTTCAAATTTCAAGTCCTGAATAATATCCGCGACTTCAACTTTCCAGTGGCACTTTCGAAGCTTTGAGTGATCCTCTCTCCCATGGTCCTCATAGTCAAAAAGTATGCCCAGATCAAGCCCAAAGTACTCTGCCAAGAGTCATCTCACTCGTGTTGCAAAGTCCCAGCGAAAGCCATGGCGACTTTTGCGTCTTTTTGTTGAGAGACATTTCTAGATCCTCCATACTTGTACCATACACAAATTGTGACAAAAGGTATCTCATACTCATAAATGCAAAATAAACATTATAAACCCCATCATGGTTATAAATCTAAAGTTCCTTCTTCTCCTGTGTCTGCTCCCCCTTAGCTTTCTTCCCAGATTCAGCCTTCACAGGCTCCTCCATCTTCTTCGTCCTCGTCTTCGTCCCAGCAGTAACCACCAACGCCACGGCAGCAACAAGCGCATCACTAACCAACAAGATAACCGCCATACAAGCAACAGACCAAGACTGCACACTCACACTTCCCACCGGGGCCCTAGGGAAAGAAAGCAGCCACTCCGCCCAATAAGGCGCCCAGCCCTTTGGAATCCAGAACATCGGTTGTTTCTGGAACCACATTTGCAGGAGCATTCTTACGCCGTTGAGACCGAGCCATCGGAGGCCATTGACGACGGAATCGAAGGTTTTCTTGGTAGAATCGGACTTGGCTTCTGTTGTGCAAGACCGTCGTCAGTAAATCATTCCATAGCAATTCCATAGCAACAAGAGAAAATCATATAAAACAACCACCCATAGTCCAAGAGAACGAAGCAAGAAAATAAACATACCACTCTCCTTCAACTGCTCAAACAACTTATCATGCTGCCTCCTCAACTTCGCCCACTTCGCAAACTCGTCCTGGCTACTCGTCCCATTCATCTCCTTGCGCACCTTCACAAACTCCCTCTTCAGCGCTTTCTGTTCTGCGGCGGATTTCGAGGTTGGAACGGGAAGGAGGTTGTATAGATTCCATAGCTATTACCATAATCCCATTAGTAAAATCCCTTCCAGAACGCTAAAATAACAACGAAGGAGGAAGAAAGAACGAAGTGGAAACAGAGAGGCAAGAATACATACAACACTATTAATCACCCCAGCTCCAAAGGTATTCAGCAAATGGATAACCAGCTGGAGGACAAACACAACGATGAGTAGGGAAGGCATGGCAGCAGATATCGTTTGCGGTTCTGCGTCGCTATCATGGAAATCCGAGGGAGGTTTCCCGTGGATGTGTTGATTTGGGTCAGGAAAGCTCTGGAATCTCACGGTCGTGGAAAGGCTGTCACTGTGTCTTCAAAAATCGTTGAGGGTCTGAAGCTCGAACTGGTCCGTGCACGCAAGGCTGTCATCGAATTCCACACTCTATTGTACGAGTACATGTATGCCATCGGATCGACTCATATTCCCCGCAACCTCTTCACTCAAGGAACGTATTATATTATTTCCAACGAAAATGTCACGAGCGCTATCAAAAGAAGACACCATCGTCACCCCACAAAGCCAGATCCAAGCCCATAAAATCTACCACTCCCTTACACACATCCTCACCCAGCCGCGGAACCCAAGTTCGCTACTGGAGATAGAATTGCTTCCAAAATCCCATGCACTGCCCCCAGACCAGAATTACATCATAGAAGACACCAGCATCGCGATACCAAAAAGGAGTCTGGTTCAAGCCTTCATCGTGGCTCGGGAAATCCTATTCCGTCACGTTCGGCTATCAAAGCTGGAGGAAGGGGAAGGGAAGGAGGATGAGGAAGTTGAGCTTCTCAAAGCGAGTTTTGTTGTTTTGTTGATGGATGCTGAACACCTTACCGCAGCGAATGCACGGAAGAGGATTGTAAAATCTCAGTTCCAGCTGCATCATCAGAATAGGGAGGAGGTTTTCAATTCCGAGTTGGGATTCGTAGATACCCTCCTAACTGCACGATTACATCGCCATACCAAGTCTCCAACACTATGGTCTCATCGGAGATGGTTGCTCTCACTGTTCCATTCATCCGGCCCCTATGAGACCAAAAATGAATATGATATCCGGCAAGGTTTCAAGTCTGTGATTGTCGTTGCGGCTGAAAGACATCCAAAGAATTACTACGCCTGGTCTCACGCTCGGTGGCTTGTTGAAACGTTTAGTGCCGACGGGAGAGGGAAAGGAAAAGAAGAGATTTTCCGAGAATTATTACCTGTGGTTCAAGATTGGGCTCTCCGTCATCCAAGCGATATCTCTGGCTTCTCATTCCTGTTCTTCTGTCTCTCAGAAGTGGGAAGCGAAACGAGGAGGAAAGTGTATCAACAAGTCCTAAATCTGGTGGTATCATTTAGATGGGCTAATGAATCCGTCTGGATATTCCTGAGAGCCCTTGCCGCATTTGATAGAGATATTGGAGAGGGATTTGAGGATGATGTCGCAGAGTTTATGGGTTCATATCCAGACACAGAAGATTCGAAAGAACAATTGACGTTGAGAAGTGCGGTGGCGTGGTATAAAGAAAATAATCACAATAAAAACACTATAACTTAAAAACTACCACATAAAAGTACCTTGTGCCATAAACGGGAATAAGTGGAAAAATACTTGCAATCCGTCCAACATTCGATCTATTAAATGGCATGGCCGAAAACTTGGATCATGTCAATTGCGGACCCGTACCTATGTTTGGATATTTATAGATCGTTGAAACTATTCTCCCAAGGTTATAGCGAAGATAGGAGGTTTCTTGAAACAGACGGGAATTTCGATCTTTCCGAAGTTTCGTCACGTAGGGCTGTGGTTTAAAATTGATCAGAAGATCGTTCAAGACGTCCGCCGAGTATATTTTTATATTATTGCCCAGAGTCATGCCGTCTGAAGGGAGTTTGAATAGGTGGAATTGCTTCTGAATATCTGCTGTTCTGCATGTTCGTGGGGGTCCTTGCAGGTGCCAAGATTTGATTGCCGAGTGTAGCGATTTGCATCTATTTCAATTCGCATTCGCATTCTAGATGTTGTGATTTGTTGTACGCTTTTGCACATGGGCTTGTTGGCACCTGTAGGTAGGTACGATATGTTGTGTTTGTGTAGCCGGACAGTTCTTTGGTTCTCCATTTGTATGTCTGGAAGCTTGAAGACATCCATACAAAGTCTTCTATTTTGTTAAGGTGCATTTAGAGGTTGTAGGCTAACGCGAGCTCCTTGGACAACCGGCTGAGCTACTGCTGCAGAAAGATTGCGTATGCAACCACCACAATACCCGAATCGAACTAACCACCAACGTTTGAAAAATTTCTTTTTCTATCGAATCGGAAGCAAGTATCAATGCTGATCGTTCGTACACCATGCACACTGACTGGTCCCGAGCTTCCATTCCAGGATTCCGACAGACTTGGATATGCCGGTGGCTTCCATGTGGCTAAAGACGTTTTTCAATCACTTTCAATCACTTTCAGACATGGAGAATCTGGGGATTGTGTTGAAGTGTATGAAGTATAATTTATGTCGACTTTGGATTTGTTGGTGATCAGGTTGCACATGCACAGCGTGTGTAAGGGATCCTGGTCAGTGTTGGTGTTCGTGAACTTGGTGGCACCCTACTGCACAGGTCCTGTTCGATACTAGGCTCGATAGCCAGGGTTAGGACTCGACCAGAAGTAGTGGCAACTGCAGTTGGATTTATACGAAGATTTGTCAACATTTTCATGATTGGTTCATAAAAATAAGTCATACATTCAGTATGGAGGTGGCTGAGAAGCAGATGTTTCGTGGGGTCGGGTCGTTGTTGGAAGGCGCAAGAATTGGAAGTTTGGGATGGGATCTGAAGGAGGGTGCAGGATCCGTTGAAACAAGGCGGGAATCATCGTATAAACATGGCAATGTGGTCATGTCATGGTGTTTTCCTCGGTTGGCGGGTTGGGAGATTGGATGGCCGGAGTTGAGATAAGGAGAGGATTGGAAGTGCTTCATTTGGTGTTCATTTCGGTGGTACCCGCAATTAATGTTAAATGTTTTGCGGATGATGGATCCAGTGTGGTGGTGGGAGGCGCTGCAGCATGAACGATTTTCATCACCAGCAGTCAAGAGTCAACAGTCAACTGGTACGGTAATAATAATGTGACGGTCATGAGAAATGATTGCGGAATAACAGCGACTTGGCAAGGAAAGGAGGCTCTGAGAGTTCTGAGACTCCGCGCGGGTGTGGTGATGTGCAGACAGGGCGGGGCCATCAATGCTTTGTATACTTTGTATGCTTTGTACCGTCTGTGTACCCGTACAAGTAAATTTAGCTGAATACCTGCTTGTGAAGTGAAGTGGTGCCGTTAGCTTGCTGCACACTCCGTACACAGCACGGTCGCCATAGTTGGTGATGGTGTTGTCCATTCTTGAATGCCGATGGGGGTCAGGTCATTCCCAGATGATGATGCTGATATGAGTACTCGTACACACCAGCATCTCGCTGCACCCTACTCTTCCCTACAGCCTACTCGTACCGCGTTGAGGACGTTGTCAACACGTTCACCATCCACCATCCACCATCCACCGCCAGCACCATTACTAGCAAGTTTACTCCGTAGAAGCTGTGGCACTACTGTGGCCGTGATCACTGGCAACCGGCGAAGGCGCATCTCTCTAATCTGCCAGCAAACCTTAAACCGGCCTAGCTCCGCTGGCTCCACCCTCCATTCGCCAATCAGAGCCGGACCCTTCAACCGCCACTTCCTTGCACGCGTCGTCTTGCCCCTGCCATGGCCCCTGTGGCTCCCTGTCGTCCCCTGTCACGCCCATCCCCAGCCAGACTGCCAGTGCTAGCCAACCTGGATGCTCGCTACGGTGGGATCGCGAGCCTATGAGAGCCCCTGCTGCTGCCAGTGCGGTTGCCGGGGCGGTGCTTGGCTGCCAGTGGCTCCCTTCGGCCCCAATCCTCGCGCATCCCTTAAAGCTCGTCCTGTCCTGTTTCTGCGCGCTCGAAAATTTCTGGTTGTACGCAAAGCCACTCGTCCTAATAAACACCATCAAGCCTGGACATTCCAGCCTTCCCAGAGTGTGTACCTTTCTCTAATTCATCACTATCGTTAAGGCCCCGTTTTCTTCATTTCACGAAGCAGAGAAAAAGAGAGTAGACTTGGACGTGACACGAACCCAACAATTGTGCTGTCGCCCCTTTTCTGGCTTTTTACCACCCAACCCTTTTGCCATACCACCAGACCACCATACCACCATACCAAAACCAACCCCATCAAAAGGTCAGTCAGTCCAGCGTTCCTTCGTCCTCTCCATCCACATCCACATCCACCTCGACCCATCGCTCTTGCTCGGAACATCCGTATCATCAGCATCACTTCTTTCCTCTTTGGATTGCGGCCAGGGCAGAGAACCAAAAGGGTTGGCGGGCGAAACGTCACCAAGGCAAGGGCCCATAAAAAGTGTCGCTCGTCTCATCTCCCGTTTCTCGTTTCTCGACCCATCCCACCCCATCCCCATTTCCCGCTTCTTCAAACAACAAAACTTCCCCGAGCTGCTCGCTTCATCACATCCATCCTTTCACTCGTCCACAGCAATACTTTGCACTCTATATCTTCGTCTTCGACTGGCCTCGATTCGAATTCTGTCTTCACACCGAACCTTGGCTGACTCTAATCACAAGCTCTTGTACAGCATAATAATCCCTCTTCACCATGATCGCCCAAAAGGTTGTCGCCGTCCTGGCAGTTGCCGGATTAGCTGCTGGTAAGTCAAGATCACATCCTCACACAGTGCTTGGCCTTCTTCCACGTCAATCTGCCTCAATTGGTGATGGACAGCAATCCCCATCGATATAGCGACACCGTCAACGCAAACTGAATGCTGACCCCTTTCTTCTAGCCCAAACCGGAACCATCTGCTCCGCCCCTTCAGTGACCATTAACTCGGCCGCAGACGCCTCAGCGCTCGCCAACTGCGCAACAGTTGCTGGAGATATCATCATCGGCCCAAGTGCCGGTGGAGTCATCAGCATCGATGGACCTCAGATAGTTCGCGGAGCTTTCATCAGTGAAAATGCTGGTGGCTTGACGAGCTTGGGAAGTACCACAATCACATCCATCGAGAAGGAGTTCACCCTCACCAACTTGACTCTTTTGTCAACCCTCGGCATGTCTACGTTGAAGTCAGTTGGAAGCATCAAATGGAGCGCTCTGCCAGCAATCTCCGCTCTTTCTTTTACCGCTATTGTCACCAAAGCCGACTCAGTCCTCATCACAAACACCTTCTTGAGCTCCCTCGATGGTATCAACTTGCAAACGGTCGCTGTCCTAGACATCAACAACAACAACCGTTTGAAGAAATTCGATACCCAAGTTGCCAACGTGACCCAATTGCTCCAAATTGACTCCAACGGACAGGCTCTCGAGGTCAGCTTCCCTAACTTGATCTGGGCTGCCAACGCTACCTTTAGAAACGCCTCATCTGTCAGCATCCCATCTTTGGCTGTTGTCAACGGATCCCTTGGTTTCTATGGAAACAACTTCGAGAGCATTGCCGCCCCTAACTTGACCACGGTTGGATCCAAGAGTGATGGAGGTGCCGGAGGTGGAATTGCATTCGTTGCCAACAGTGACCTTGCCAACATCTCCTTCCCTATGCTCGAGTCAGTTGCTGGTGCCAACCAAGTTGCCAACAACTCCAAGTTGGCTGCATTGGAATTCCCAGCTCTGTCCACCGTGGGAGGTGCCATTGATTTCTCTGGAAACTTCACAACGTAAGTATTCGATACCATACTTTTTCTCCTTCTGAAGGAATACTTTTACTGATGCATCTTCTAGCCCTCTCTTGCCAGCACTTACTCTCGTTTCCGGAGGTTTCAACATCCAATCTACCAACCAGATCGACTGCAGCACCTTTGACAAGCAGCAAAAGAATGCCGCCATTCTTGGTGTCTACACTTGCAAGACCACTGCCGATGCCAAGAGTGGTGTTGGATCATCCACCAGCAGCGGAAGCGGATCAAGCACCACTAGCAAAGCTGCTGCCGCCTCATACGGTATCAACGAGGCAATCGCTGGTGTCTCTGTTATTGGAGGACTCTTACAAATGTTGTTGTAGATCATCTGGGAAGTCGGCGTTTTCTTCGTTTTCAATACACTAGACCTAATATGCAACGTTTCCATTTGTTCCCATTACTACGCCCCACTCTGGGGACCAACGAAGCCCATCATGGATCGGATCCAAGCATTTGAGCGTTTTTGATTGAGCCTTTCCTTGGGATTTACTTGGGGCAGCGGGCTGGGGGGGTTCGGGGTTCATGCTGGCATAATATGTGTTGCTGTCTTGTTCTTTGAAAACAAAATGGTGGTGCATGCTGGAGGATGGGAATGTTTCTCCTGCAGTTGGCGGAGGACATGTCCTTAGGACCAAGCGAGATTCCATACAAACTGTACATTGATACTATGAGTTTTTAATGCCCTCTTTTTCTTTTGTCATTGTGATGAGTACAATCCTCTCTTTTTTAAATAATGAGTTTTTCGCTTTAATCTCCTTTCTGGTTTGATGTGATATTGTGTTGCATGCAATGTGAATGATTGATGTGTGCATACATTGCCGGTCGGATCATTTAGGTGTGAGCCAGATTGAGTCAGGTTAATGAGTAGTAAGTACAGTATGGTATAGTCGGTATGTTGTGTATATCTTCTTTCTTTTCTTCCTTCTCTCCTTTTTTTATCATGTCCTCGTTTATTTTTTTTTGGTCATTCTATTTATCCCCCATCCTTTTTTAAAAGGGATATAGTTATGGTATCTTTTGGTTATTTTGAGTAAATTAGTTTATCTTGTGGGTGATACTGTAGTTGTCCTTGTGGGGGGTTTTTTTCTTCTTGATGGTGGGAGGGGAGGAGGGAGGGTTGTAAGTGTGTTGGGTGGGGTTAGGATGGTGGTAGTCTTTAGGGGGGATGGTTAGGGAGAGGGGGCGGGAGTACAGTATTATGGGGGAAGATTTGTGGGTGGTAAGTGAGTTAGTTGGAGTTTCTTCTGGTGTGTCTCGTGGGATGTTGGATGATGTGGGATGTTACAGTATAAGGGTTCTGGGTTGTGATTAATGGAATGGGATTAGAGGGGAGGGGACAAGCAAGTGATAAGATAGGGAGGAAGAAAGAGTGGGGATTTTACAAGTGAAGAAGTATAGAAGTAAGGAATTAAGAAAGTAAGGAAGTGAGAAAGTAAAATACATTTATTATTTACAATATGTATGAAGTATATCAAATTATCAAAACAAAATCAGCTTATTTATAACATGCAATTTGAAGGTCGAGAGGTGTTGAGGGATTACTAGGGATGAGATGTGGGATTATGGGGGTAGGGAGTGAGCTGAGGGAAGATGAGGGGAGAGTTGAGTGAGTGATAAGTCGGGGAGGAAGAAGGGAAGAAGTGAAGAGATATAGGGATTAAGAAAGGAAGTAAGGAATTAAGAAAGTAAGGAAGTAACATGTAAAATAGATTCATTATTTATATATAAAGTACTGTATATCACCCCAAAATCAGCTTACTTATAAAATGAAATTTGAAGGTTGAGAGAGGTTGAAAGAGAGGAGATAGATACTACCTAGTTCCCGAGTTTGATCATTTTTACAGTATGTGGAAGCTACTATGCTGAGAGAAGAATCCTTATCCCGGATACTAGGAGCGGGGGATTGATTATCATGGTGTTAAGGGGATTACGGGATGTGTGTGATTTGTGGTGTGTGAATCGTGATTTTGATGTTGGGTGTTGGAGAGGGAAGAGAGGTAAGAGAGGTAAGAGAGGAAGGTGGTTATTAGTCTATATACACATGAGATAAAAATATTATTCTAAGAAGTTAAAGGCCTTATAGCCAAATCAACTATACGAATAGGTTAGAATCATTGTTACTTCTTTCTTTTTACTTCTTGTTAAACTAGCTCCTGGTGGACAAGATAAGTGGCAGTCTTGGCACTGGAATTTTATAGAGATGCACGCAAATCGACTACGCCAAGACTGCCACTTATCTTGTCCACTGGGAGACTAGGTAAAAGAAGATACTTAAGTTCCTTATCTCCTCGACGGTTCGGCGTAAATCTAAAGTGGGTCAAGGACGTGCTAACCTGGGTAGAAAAACAACATATAGATTCGTACTAAGATTTACAATGTCTACTAATACAAATAATAGCTTTGTCTAAGTTCTTTACCTAATCCTTCCTTATTAAGATTTAGTATATGATTGTATATGATTTGAAGAGAAGTACTTCTATTTTAACGATTAAACAGACCTATTAGAATTATATAGTCACGTTCTAGTCCTGTGACTATATATCTCCTTCCTGGGAAATCAGTGCAATTGATAGCTTGGCATTGCCAAGGTGTCAGAATTGACCTGAAATTATGCGTTAAACAAATCTACGCGAGGGTGCTTAATCCTGGTCAGGGTTTACGCCGAACCGTCGAGGAGATACCAGATCTTGGTATAGTTACTTTTGAAGCTTTGAATAGTATGGATAGAGTAATATCAGGTTTCTTACTCGAACTTTGCCACTTCAGACGTTAGAATATAACTCAAGGCAAGGAATATGAGTTTTCACCAGCCCATGGAAGACCGATAGTTCGAGATAAATAGATTCCAGCGCGAGGAGGTTAAATAAGCGAAAGCGAGTATGTAAGTTTAGGTTATGAAAGAAATATACTCTATTATACACCCCTTTTTTCTCTTTTTCGATACCTACACCCCTATATTCAAAGGGGGAATCTGGAGAATTTTGATATGTTATGCCGGTAGGCTCGTTTGATATGGAGAATAGACCGAGTCTCGATATGCATGGGGCGTTAGGGAGAGCTGGGGGGTTATGATGGTGCTTGTACTAGTTGCTGGTTTTGAATATTTGATGGGACCTTTTTGAGGAGGGGGTGGGGTGGGGTGGGGTTAGAATGGAAGATAGATAGAGATATATATAGTAGATGGTTGGGTTACGGTAGGTCAGCTCGTAAAGCCACTGCTGAACACGAAATAAGAGAAGTGGAATTTAAATTTCTGGGCTTTTAGTTTGAGAGTTAATTGGGTGCTAAGTTACTAAAGGCCAGCTGCTTTTCTTCTAATCAGGGGATGTGAGAGTAACAGGCTGGTATTTGCCATTTGGAAGGTTTTGTCTATTAAGGTAGTGACGCGATAACATCAGAATAGAAATCTGGATGAATTCACATAAAGAAGTTTTGTTCCTTGCAATAAGCTTATTTGAAATTTGAAACTTCTTGGCTTTAGTATTTTACAATTACAGTATTATAATATTCTTCTGGAAGTCCTGTGCACCTCCTACAAACTTTCGCTGTAACATCTAACGCCTATTTACTCTCCTTCGCCTTCTCAGCCAGCTTCTCCGCCTCGGCCGTTCGCTTCTGCAAAACATCTTGGATATCCTTATACGCCCCCTTCAAGATTTCCTGGGCATCATCCCCACGATTCTCAGCAACCTCTTGCAACTTCCGTAGCTTAGGGAAGATCTCGCTGCCGCCAGGAATCATCTTGACATATTTCTCAATTCCCTGTCCCGTTCCACTTTTCTTGGCCTTCTCTCCGGCATCTTTGACGTACTTTTTCAGGTCCTCGACGCTGCCTGAGCTGGCAGCGTTCTTGACCTGCTCGAATGTTTCCTTGATATTTCCATTCTTCAGCGAATCGGCGTTCTCTTCAACGACCTTCTTGATTTCCGGGCTTTTGTCCAGGTAAGGCTTCATCTGTTCGAGACTCTTCTTCCAGGCTTCGTCACCGAGCTTTTTGACCTTTTCCATCTTGTCCTGCAAGATTTTGCGGACCCTATTTATGCTATCGGCGCTCATGCCTCCTTTGACAGCATCGCTGACAGTACCCCAAACCTCATCGATTTCTTTCTTCGCATCCGGTCCTAGGTTTTCGGACATGCTCTTCAATTGGTCGATCTGTCCACCAAACTTCTCCTTCAACTGGGGATGGTTATCCAAGATCTGCTCCGCACTATCACCCGCCAAATCTCGCAGCCGACTCGCCGCCTTCTCGATAACCTCCCAAGCCTGGGAAACACTCTCCATACTCATACCCTTCTTCGTAGCTTCCTTGAGCTCAGAATAGGCCTCATTAACAACCTTCTCCACCTCACCCCCATGTTTTTCCTGCACCGCTTCGAGATCCTTGAACAGCGTATCCACATATCCTTTCCCACCAGGGATGAAAGCCGCATACGAGGTAGCGGTACTCCGCAGCCGTTTCAGCGCTTCGTTTGGCTCTGGGGCTGATGATTCAATGGATTTGCTGAGGGATTGGAATTTGGCTTTTGTGTTGTGCGCAGCGTTGACCATGGATTTGGCGCCCGAGAAGTGGTAGTATGAGTATCCGGCCTAGTGGGGAGTTAGTGTTGAGCTGGAAGGAGGGGCTGAGAAAGGGAATTACTGACTGTGAAGACCAAGGCTCCTCCTGCGAGTCCTCCGACGAGACCTGATGAACCGCCTGCTGCGGCGGCTTGCTGATTCGTTGATGCATGACGGAATTGATTTGATTTTTGTGCTGGTCTTGTTGTGCGGAGGGTTCGGGCTGCTGCTCTGCTTGCTGTTCTTGAAGCTAACATTTTGAGGGGTTTTGATGAGGTGTATGAATTGTGTTTTGGAGCTCGAAGAAGCAAGTATTTTTTGATTGAATGAGGATATGCAGAGGATGCTGTTGGGTATTTACATTTCCAACAGTAAGCTAGTGACGCCGCATTCTAGATTCCGATTGCGCACTGCGTCATAGGTAGTGTTCCACGGCTGAAAGAAGACGCCCGGTTTGTGTGACGTCATCGGAGTACTTGCTCCTGGATTGTGGGGAAAATGCAGGGAGTGAATCGAGATAGAAAACGTTATGTTCGTGACTTGGAAATCATGACAGAGATGGGGCAAGTCGAATTATCTGTAATTCAAGGCGTGGATGTGATCAATTGAATGAGGATGTCGTTAGAAAGAACGGAAATTCTTCAGGTTCCTGATCAACATTAACAGTCAACGATCGGCAACAGGGATTATGGTTGGTTGATTATGCTTTTCTTTTTTCAATGGGATTTCGAACAATGTCTTCGCTACAGTACCTCCCAGTGGACAGGAAAAGTAGCAGAGATTCATTTTTCTAACTATTAGCGTAAGTTAATTCTAAGTACTAGAATGTTTAAAATATCTCAAACAGTTGCCTTTTATTATACTATCGATAAATCACTTTGATTATTCGAAATAACTAATATAATATAATATAACGTAGTCCACAAGCGAGTTGGATTCCCAAGCGGAATGGATTTTTTTTTCTTGGCACTCCACAAACTTATTCAGAGCGCGTTTTTTCTTAACAAACAAAATGGTTAAGCATTGGACAGAGTCTGATATGATTCTTGCGTTAAATACGCTTCGTACGAACCCACATTTAAAAGTTAAGAAGGTTGCGCGGATCTATAAAGTACCTTATACGACATTGCTTAATCGAACTCATGGAATATTATCACGACAAGATTCTATCGCTAAATCTCGAAAACTTACAGAGATTGAAGGAATAGTTATCGTACGACATATTCTCGACCTAGATTCTCGATCATTTCCCCCACGAGTACGTTGTGTTGAAGATATGGCGAATCGTATCCTCTCGGAGCGGGGTGCAGGACGCGTTGGCAAGAACTGGACTTCGAACTTCGTACGACGACAACCTGAACTTAAGACGCGTTTTAATCGAAGGATTGATTATCAAAGAGTCCAATGCGAAAATCCAGACGCGTATAACGCGTGGTTTCGCCTCGTACGAAATATAATTGACAAATATGGGATTCAGGAGGAGGATATTTATAACTTTGACGAGACTGGGTTTTGTATGGGCCAAATTACATCAGAAATGGTTGTTACAAGTACCGAAAGGCTTTCTCGGCCTCGTACAGTACAGCAAGGAAACCGGGAATGGGCAACAGTAATTCAAGGTGTTGGGTCGTACGGCTTTGTAGTGCCTCCATATATCATTTTGGCGGGGAAGAACCACCTCTCCTCCTGGTACGAAAACAGCCAATTACCACGCGACTGGGTAATTGCTGTAACTACAAATGGCTGGACAACAAATGAGCGAGCCCTAGATTGGATTTTTCATTTCGATCGGCATACAAAGCTTCGTACGAAGGGCATTCACCGGCTGCTTGTGCTTGATGGCCATGAAAGCCACCACTCAGTCGATTTTGAGCTTTTTTGTAAGAGTAATAACATTATTACTCTTTGCATGCCAGCTCATTCCTCTCATAGACTCCAGCCACTCGATGTAGGATGTTTTCGAGCGTTAAAAAGGTCGTACGGTGCTGAACTTGAGAAATTAATGCGACTCCACATGACATATGTTTCTAAGGAGGATTTCTTACCAACATTCTATACTGCCTTTCGTACGACAATGACTGAATCAAACATTCGAGGAGGATTTCGAGGATCTGGCTTAGTGCCGTACGACCCAGATTCTGTGATTTCACAGCTTGATATACGTCCAAGGACTCCGTCACGTCCATCTACCTCAACAAGCCTCCTAGCTATTTGGGAACCAAAGACCCCAAATAACATAACAGAGGCATATTCCCAGACGTCATATATACAAAACAAGGTCGTACGACACCAAGATAGTTCTCCGACCCAGATTCTATATGGCCTAGACCAGCTTGCAAAGGGTGCACAGCGTGCAATCACTGAGGTAGCTTTATTACGAGCTGAGAATGCTACACTTCGTACAGCAAATGATCAACTTAGTCGGCGTCGTCGTACGAAAAAGCGCCGATTACAGGAAGGAGGATCACTTACTCTCCAAGATGCGCAAGATTTAGGGGTCCTTAGTAATGTTGATTCGCAAGAACAAGTGGTTTTAGCAGAAAATAGTAATTGTACGAGCCCGAGTCTAGTACCTCGCCGGCGCTGTGGACTATGTGGGAAACATGGCCATAACATACGAACTTGTCAAAAAGGAGAAGAAATATGTGAGGATTCCGATTCTGAATACTGTAATTAATTTAATTAATTGTGTCGTGAGATATTTAAGAATTTATAAAATGCCAAGAAAAAAAATCCATTTCGCTTGGGAATCCAACTCGCTTGTGGACTACGTTAATAGTTTTTAGTTAAGTTAGACTAAAATAAAAGAAGTTTAAATATCTAGAACAATTAGGTTTATTATACTATCGCTTTCGATAAACCACTTTAATTGTTCGAAATAACTAATATAATATAATGGTTTTTAGTTAAGTTAGGATAAGATGAAAAATGAATCTCTGCTACTTTTCTTGTTCACCGGGAGAGTACATACCTAGAAATTGTAAAATAGCACTTAGGCCTAACTCTTGCGACTTATAATTTAGATCAAAGACTTTTGACCTATTTGTTTTGATCCAGTCACCTGACAGAACATTTCTGAAAAATATCAGAAGCAACTGCGGGAAAAGTCTTATAACTTGGGAGCTATTTATTGTTAGTGAAAGCTTCGTAGATACCTTTCGGTTAAGTTTGCGAAACGGAAAAGGGGGTAATGTCACGTCAATCATATTTACTTCCTCTCGGAATATTTGGGTACTGTAATTGCTCATTTAGGAGCCAGTACATACCCAATCAATCATAATTTTCAAGCGGCGTGTGAAGTTCGCGGTCTCAAACTCTCAAAATTTGTCAAAAGAATGGGGCGTAGACCCTGCATGGGTTAGATCTCGATGGAGTGCATCTGTCCAAGGCCTGCTTAACTCCCATATCTCGCCTTTACCTCAGAATGTCCTGTCATCCTCTATATATATCTCTCCTTTCCCAATTTGTGCCTTGCAACCACCCACCCAACATCTACAAGCCTGAAGTTGAACTGGTTGAGCTGGGAACAGGGATTACATTCACAACCAGCATTTTCCGACCCCGCTCCCCACGTCGCTCAGCCTTGATCACCGCGACTTGGAACCACCTTGGCTAGGAAAAGGTGGAAAATGCCCTCCCTTGAAGCTCTGCGGGCCCGAGAAGTGTACCGGTAAAGCTAGTGCTGCTCTCGTTGGTTAATGAAAACTAATGAGCTGCTTCACGCAGTTATTATCAACCTTGCCCTCAATCACCCTCCCTCAAACTTTCCCCCTCGATTGACCAAGAAAACATATCTTCATCCTCCTCTGCACCTGTCACTGCCTCTTTCGAATTTGATACCAGTCTTACCAACCCAGCGAACCAAGATTTGCGCTCGTTTTCAGACACAGCATTGACAGCTTTTGCGCAATTGATAGCTATTCGCCTTGCCTGTCAAAGAGCTGTGGTCTCTTTGATCGACTCCGAACGCGAATACTTTTTAGCTGACTCGACTACCCCTCCTCAAAGCCTGCCGAATGATGAATGGGTTCCGCAGAATACCTGGTCATCGAGTCGCGATGGAGTTCTCCGTGCACAATCATTATGCGAACGGACATTGCAGTTGGGGATAGAGGGGAATGGCGACAAACATGGGTCGAGTTCCATACCAATAGTCTTCATCTCCGATTTGCATCAAGATGATCACTTGTGCCATCTTGATTGTGTCAAGGGAGCTCCAAACTGGGGCTTTTATAGCGGGGTACCTTTAGTCAATAAGAATGGTGTGACTATTGGTTGTGTATATGTGGTGGACGAAAGGCCCAAGACTACTCAATTCACCAAGGAGCAAATCTTATTCTTACAAACTATGACTTTAACTATCATGGATCACCTTGAAAACAACCGGGCTAAGGAAGATATGATTATCGTTACGCGCATGAGTCAAGCACTGCACGCTTTCATTGAGGGAGATGGTAGCATGGACGGTGATTGGGAAATACTGAAACGATATAATCTCCCACTCGGTGCTGGCGTTGATTTCAAATGGGAAAGCAATAAAGATGAGGGAAGCACAGGCGAATCCCATCACTACAAGAACCCTGTGGTATATGATCTTCCCACCGACGAGTTTGATCCCACTCGCAGCCCGGGCATGTCTCCTTTGCAACACACATCCAGCTTCAATGGCGCAAAGGGCCTCAACAATTCTCCTTGGGGATCTTCAAGCGAGATACCACATTCACAGGAAGCTGAAAAAGCAAGGGGCGGAACCAGTCGCGAATATTCCGGGGATAGTTTTTCAGATCTCCTTCATGGAACATTTTCTCGAGCTTCCAACCTTGTTCGCGAAGGAATGAAGCTGGATGGAGCTGTTTTCTTTGATGCTCCGTTTCGATTTTACCATGGACGAAATACCCTGGAAGCCGACCTTCGGGGTTTTGACGTGAGGAGTACTGAAAGTTCGAGCGAAGAAGAGGACCTCGAGCCCCTAACTTTGGCCCGACCGGGACCTCGTCCATATGTTTCTTCCAGTTACCGTGGCTCTTACACAAGCACCTATTCTGACCACGATCGAAAGGATCGAGGGGATACCCGAAGTATGACTTCGAATTCGTCTATCAACGCTGATGCAAAATCCGATATATTAGGCTTCTCCACGAGACATTCATCTTCCTGGAAAGATAAAGATACAAGCCCTCCCAAAACATTCAGCGCAATTGATCAATCGCTTCTGACCGCACTCGTGAGGCGCTATCCGCAAGGATCTTTATTTCGCTTTGATGAAGATGGTCCAGTAATACCAGATGAATCTCAGTTGGTACGGGGATCTCAAGCGACCATCTTGCCACCCGTGATGGAAGAGATCAGACTCAGGAGAGAAAAAAGAATAGCCGCTGAATTGAAGCGTTTGCTGGCTGCTTTTCCGGGCTCACGGCAGATTTTCTTCGTACCTTTATACGATTCTACGTCTGGCTGTTTCATTGGTTCTTTTGCATGGTCAACATCGGCAACTCGAAGCTTTACAGAAGGCAACCATTTATCATACCTCGTGGCTTTCGGTCACAGTGTAATGTCCGAAGTTTCTCGTCTCAATACACTAAGCGCAGATCATGCAAAGGGCGATTTTATCAGTAATGTATCACATGAACTGAGAAGTCCCCTCCACGGAATTCTTGCAAGTGTGGAGTTCCTGGCCGATACTACGCTTGATGGCTTCCAACGAAACCTAGTGGAAACGGTTGACATTTGTGGCCGTACCCTTTTGGACACCATCGAGCACGTTTTGGATTTTTCCAAGATCAAGAAATTTGGCCAAGATACTATGCAACCTATGGGCAGTGTCTCCGATCTCGATATCTCTGCAATCATCGAAGAAGTCATCCAAGGTGTTTTTGCTGGATTCGAATTTAATGGTCTCTCCTCCCAGGGTTTGGCGGATATGACACAAAGTCACAAAGGAATCTTATCCCCAGGAGGAGGACAAGAGGCAATTCGCGCCTCCAATCGTCTTCCACCCGATGGTACAAACCAAAACCTCACTGTGATTCTAGATATTGATTATAAAGAACGATGGAAATTTCCTACAGTCCCGGGTACCTGGCGTCGTCTTACTATGAATGTTTTTGGTAACGCCTTGAAGTATACTCCTTCAGGATTTATCAAAATAAAGCTTGAGTCAAAGACTATGCCATCTGCCAATAGTGGATCAAATACAAATGACGAGGGGAAAACAATGGTTATCTTGACCTTGAGCGATTCAGGGCAAGGCATGTCAAGTGATTTTATGAAAACCAAATTGTTTATGCCTTTTTCTCAGGTTTGGACTCACACATCCAGCCTACATATTCTAGGTCTCTTCAGACAAAACTAACATTTCAAAGGAGGACGTGACCGCCCCTGGAACTGGATTAGGTATGAGTATTGTGAAACAGATTGTCGATTTATCAGGAGGTACTATTGATGTACGCAGCGAATTACGCCAAGGGACTGAAATCAAACTAAGTCTACCATTGGACAACTGTCAATCGGCTCCAGAATCCGATCTGAACCAAATGGAAGAACCCATTGAGGTAGTTCGTCGCCGAGGCAGTGGTCGGACTGTCATGATTAAGGGTTTCCATCCGGGTCCACACTGCACGAAGATTCAGCGTGGAGCTCTTTCCAGTTTAAAAGCCTCAATTGAGCAGTATGTCACGAAATGGTTCAGTTTAGCCATTGTCACTGCAAGCTCCAACCCCGATATCATCATTTGCGATGAATCAGCATTCCACCAATCATCTATAGCGGATCTCAAATTCCGCATTTTGATTATTCTTTGCAGCAACGGGACTCAGCGACATATCTACTCTTCCCAACTAGATACCGGGCAAACGCTCGAGTTCGTGAGCACACCTGCTGGACCGCACCGTCTAGCAAGAGCGTTGCTGAACTGCTTCGATGCGGAGATCGCAGCTTCACTCCAACCCCTCACAGCCGACAGCACTAACCCAGGATTCCTGAAGATAGGTGTGGATGAGGCTCGTGGGCCAGTTGTGCCTGCAAACTTGGCGGATAATATCGTGGTAGACCCTGATGTTGGGAGGGCCTTGAGACTGATTGGGAAACTCCCGACTTCCATCGGCTTTTCGCCTACTACTTCATTAAAGAAGATCTCATCTGGGAGCGGTCTTTCTCGAACCCCTAGTGTTAGTTTAGAAACACCACATGTCGGGAAGACAGCGGCGGAATCGACTTTGAGCTCGACAGAGAATGCTCTTCCTGGTCAATCTCTCTCCACAGAAGGAAGTATCGGATCATCAAAAGAAAAGGTCGTCGGTGCCACGCCCAGTGGGCGGGTGCCCAAAATGCTCTTAGTAGAGGTAAGACTTGTTCTGTACACCTTTCCATGTTTACTTCGCTAAAGCAAATCCCAAGGACAACCCAATCAACATGATGCTCCTCGAGACCTACATAAAGAAGAACAAGTGGGAGCTTGAAAAAGCCAGCAACGGCTTACTAGCCGTGGAGGCCTTTGAACGGCGAAAGGAGGGGTTCGATGTTATTTTCATGGGTAAGATTTCCCAAACCCATCCCTTAAAACACAGAAAGACCGATCTCCTCATCACTAACTCCTTCCTTCCCCTCTAGACGTCTCCATGCCCATCATGTCCGGCTACGAATCCACCCGTCTCATCCGACAAATCGAGCACACCCGCCGTCTCGCCTTCGACCAGCAACAACAAATCCTCACCCCCTCCTCCTCCTTCCCCTTCAACACCCGTCCTCCACACTCCCACCCATCCACCCAATCCATCGACCTCCACCTCTCCACCCCGGAGCTCCAACGGAACCCACCCGCGTTAATCATCGCACTCACGGGCTTCAGCTCCCAGAAGGACCAAGAGATGGCGTTCCAAGCTGGCGTGGATGTGTTTATGACGAAGCCCGTGAGGTTTCGGGAGGTGGGGGGGATTTTGGAGGGCTGGGCGAGGGCTTTTGGGGTGTGGAGTGAGAATGAGGGGATGGAGGGGGAGGGGGAGGGGGAGAGTAGGACGCCGAAGGGGTGAGGTGTGTGATGTGTGTGGAATAGTTTGTGTTAGATTCATATGATAGAATACCCCACTGTCCAATACTCCGATCAATATTCCGGGTAATCATTCAAGAGAGAGAGCGCCATATGAGATATGGGACATAAACCTAGGGGAGAGAGTTTTCAATAAATGTTTCATTTGTAAAAGAAATCTATCTACCACTCAAGTCTTCCAACGTTGTATGATCGTTAAAAGAGGGGGAAAATAATACAAACTCATATGATTATTCGTGTATCTAACAGCATGGGGTTTCGGTGAGCTCAATTAGTGTCGATCTATCCTGGAAGAGGTATGTCGGTCGAGATTGGGATTTCATAAAGTGTACAGTATAGCAGAACTAGAGTTTTGCCTTGGGGACGTCCTGCTTCATCATTGTATCGGCTACAATGCGGCGTTGAATCTTGCCTGTGGCAGTCTTGGGCATGTTGTCTGTGAAGTAAATCTGAAGGGTTTTCGAAAGTCAGTCGGAGGTTCTACTAACTGTGGGGAGTTTGAGGGAATACATACCTTCTTGGGAATCTTGAATTTGGCAACTTTCTCTGAAATCCAATCTCTCAATTCTTTCTCGCTCAGTTTCTGTCCGCTCTTTGGCACAATCGCCACGGCAACTTCTTGTCCATACATCTCGTCTGGAATGGCGAAACTGACAGCCTCGCTAATCTTGGGATGACGTGCAAGAACATTGTCAAGCTCAATGGGGCTGATTTTCTCTCCACCCTTATTGATTAATTCCTTAATTCGCCCTGTGATAATCACATAGCCATCCTTGTCTTGTTTTCCTTGATCACCAGTTCTGAAATATCCATCTTTGGTGAAGGATGACTTGTTGGCTTCAGAGTTGTTCAAATATCCCTTGGTGACATTCTCGCCGCGAATACAGATTTCCGCCTCTTTTCCTTGAGGAACCTTGTTTCCTTCTTGGTCGATAATGGCAATTTCTACACCTTGCCCAATACCAACACTTCCTGGTTGTCGTTTTCCTGGTGGAAGAGGGTTTGATGTCATTTGATGTGCAGCTTCAGTCATGGCATACGCTTCAAGAACGGGTGCATTATAAGTCTCTTCCAACTGGTGGAAAGTAGTTGGTGAGAGAGGGGAGGAACATGATCTGATGAAACGAATGTTGGGTTTTGTGGCAGGAGGTGGGTTTTTGAGAAGAATCTGGTGGATGGTTGGTACAGCAGTATACCAATTGGCTTTGTGAGTGATAAAATCATCCCAGAATTCGGAAGCAGAGAATTTGAGGGGCACTACAACAGATCCTCCAGAATAAAGGGGTGCTAGAAAACCAGCTAGAAGACCGTGAACATGGAACAATGGCATCACAAGCATAGTACGATCAGCTGTTGTGAGCTGGTAAGTATCCTTGATATTCTTCATGGTTCGGGTGAGGTTTCGGTGGGTCAATGGCACTGCCTTGGGTCGGCCGGTGGTACCACTCGTATGGAGGACGAGAGCGATATCATCTGGCTGAGCCTGCTCGACCTTTTGGTTCCCTTTCCCCTTCAACTTTCCCTCATCTTTCACGTCCAACACAACTTCTTGTCCATTCCAATAGCATTCAGCAATTGCAGCTTGGTATTTTCTCGCAGCTCTCACGGCTGGCCCATCTTTTTGGAAAGAGCCCTTTGGCACCAGAGCCACGGCAGACTTCAGATCATCAATGTAGAACTCAAACTCTTCCTGTTTGTACGCCGAGTTGAGAGGGGCGGCAATTCCTCTTTGCCAGGCGCTGGCGAGAAATGCAACAATGAATTCGTATGTATTGGGGAGAGCGATGGAGACGGCGGCCTCAGGGGTGAGACCGAGCTTTGCGAGTTTCTTTTGGAAGGACAGCACTTCGGCAGAGAGTGCTTTGTAGGACACAGCGAGGGGCTGGGTTTTGCTGGGTATGATTACAGCCGTTGAGTGGTCCACTGAGGAGAAGGAATCGGAAAGGGTGGTCGCCATTGGGACGACTCGGGGAGATGGAAATGCACAATCTTGATGCGCAACAAGGTATACAAGCAGCCAAGAGGAGCGATGGATGGTGGGGAACTTGGCAATAATGGTGAGACAATTATCAACGCGATTACGATGCGAAAAACTTGGGGAAATGAATTGGAAAAGAAGCGATTTCAAATCTGATCTATGGCCGTTGACGGTGACCTGAGTGAGGCTTGCTTGCATCAAGAGAGTTAGAGTTCACCTTATCCCCGCCAAGATAGGCCTGTGTCGGAGCTCCTCTTGCTCAGGTCTTGGAGCTTTACCTGGTATCGGCGTTTCGCAAACGGGCCGCGGCTCGGCCCTCAAGGATACTTTCCGATCATCACAGCTCCGATTTGTCTCCGTAGTGGGCAGTTACTCGTACTGGGTACGGAGTCAGCCTCACTCCATCAACGAGGCTGCGAAGACGATTGCACCAACAGAACTATTACCACCAATCTCAACATGTCGAATCCCTCTAATTCCTCGTCGGCTCCGAGAATCGGTCTCTCTCTATATGCAAATCTACTTGATCCCGGCGCGACGACAACAGCTGCAAGCGTGTCTCGAGGCCCAGTTGTCTTCAAGACAGGCACCTCAGATCCAGTAGAGGACCCCTCGGCGAAAAAACCTCAAATAGACGCTGGTATATAATCTTATCACGTTGTAACGAGGCCAGTAAATAACCTTTGTTCTAGCAGCTCTGCGGTTCCAACCTACCAAGCGACCTCAATTGGCGCAAAAGCCCAAACCAAAATCCCAATTTCCAAAGGCTCCTCTAGGATCAGAAAACCCTGGGCCCACCCCAATATCAAAACCGCCCGCTCCAGCATCAGCAAGACCAGCAGCGAAAAATACCCTCGCCGATTGGACAGCAACAGGAGACGATGACGATGTGAACGGTTTCTACGGAGGCGGGGAGAAGCGTCAAAGAGGAGGTCGTAAGCGCAGGAAGAACAAGCACAGAGAAGAACATGTCGCCGTTCAAGATTGGGACGATATCTACGATCCAGCACGGCCAAACAACTACGAGGAATACAAACACAGTGATGAAAAAATCCGCGAAATCAGAGAATGGAAAGATAGACTATACGCACATAGAATGGCCCGGAAATCAGAAAGCGAGAAGGATAGTGATGAAGAAGACTATCGACCACAAATGAAAAATCAATTCGCGCCGCCCTCGAACTACTCCTTCGCTCCTCCACCTATGGACTCGCCTCCACCAAAGCCCCTCGCCGATTCTGGGCCTGAAAGTCCTGCTCGTCCACTGGATCAGTCACCACCTCCTCCGCCGCCGCCAACAGCTTCTCTCGATACAGGAAGTACAGTATCCCGCGCTCCAGTTCGTTATAATCTCCCTCCAGCACCCAGCGAACTGCCCGCCTCAGAAGCAGAACTCGAAAAAGCCCTCGCTGCAGAACCAGAAGAAGAAGATGAGGCTCCACCGGATGATGAAGCTCCACGTTCTCTTCGTCCTGGTCAAAAAGGGTTTGCCGAACGTCTCATGTCCAAGTATGGCTGGAGCAAAGGAACAGGTCTCGGCGCCGATGGTTCGGGTATCGTAAACCCCTTACGCGTTCAAGTCGAGAAACGGAAGAAGAAATCTGACGCTGAAGGTGGCGTGTTTCGTGATCCTTCTGGCGCAAGAGGAAAAATCATCGGAGGGAGGAAGAATGTTCCCGAAAAGGAGTCTGAAGGTGGAAAATTCGGGCCTATGTCTGAAGTCGTTGTATTACGGGGAATGGTCGATGGTATGAATCTCGATGAGGAAGTTGAAGGGTCTGGCGATGGCGGATTGATGCAGGAAATTGGGGAGGAATGTGATGAGAAGGTATGTCTTCCTTATTCCTCGAAACAAGCAGTACGCGTTGATATTTTGATTTCGGATACTAATATGAATCTACATAGTATGGCCGCGTGGAAAGAGTCTACATCGACAGACACGGAGAGAAAACAAAAGTCTTTATCAAATTCACGAATCAACTTTCAGCTTTGCGGGCAGTTAACGCACTGGAAGGACGGCTGTTTAATGGGAACAATATTTCCGCCCTATTTTACAATAGTGAGGCTTTTGAAGCGGGCAGTTACGATTTGTGATGGAAAACCATATGAGTTGTTGTAAAGTATTATCTGATCTCGGAAACCTTTGAAATGATAAATGAATGACCTTTTTCTCAGAATGTGAATCTCATTCTCTCCAATCTTGACCACACATCAATTCACCACTCAAAATTTGAGATTCTTCGCCAATCGGAACAGCAAGCCACGAATCAACTCCAGTAATCCCAGTGGTGTTTCGGGTGGCCATAGCGCTGAAGCGAAAGGGGAAAGGGGAAAGGGGCAGTTGCAGTGTGGGGTACTGTGATATTGACGTCGTGATGCACGTGGGAAAATTGGCAGTGAATGAACCTTGAACCACTTGAATTTTCTACCTTTTCTTCCAGTTAAGCCGGATAGGTAGTAATTCTGGCCATTTATAATTGAAACAATTGCTCAAATATTTTAAATAAGACAATTATAATTGTGCTTCTCTTGTCCAAATTACAAATACGAGTACTGGACCGAGTGATCAGTATTGTATACTCGTAAAACTACGTAATAAGCTCGAGCCGAGGTACAGAAGCTCCCAGGTTCTCCGCCCTCCACATTCACCAGATTAAAAGTACTTGATTACCATGGCGGGATGATTAGAGCATGTACTCGTAGATCTCAAGGTAATCAATCTCCTATTTCCCTCCCCCTCCCCGCAGCCAGTAAGGAGGTCTTTTGGACTTTTTTCTCCTTCATTCTTCTTGTTGTAAATTTCAAATTCCAAACCAGGAATTCTTTATCATGGCAGCTAAGCAGGAAATCATCTTATATCACTACAGCTTCTCACCTTACGCCAGAAGGTAAGTCACTTCAACCACAACACCCGCTCAGATACCGACAAGAAACAGAATAGTATGGTATCTAAACCTGCGTCAAATTCCCTACACACAATGCGTTTGTCCCCTCTCCTTCCCATCCCTTCCCATCCCTTCCCATCATCCCAAACTCCCCAGAACCCAAAGAAAAAGAATCCAACAAGCTAATTCTACACCAGCACCAACCACCAACCATGCCCCGTCCCGACATCACCGCAATCGGCACCCTCTACCGCCGCATCCCCATCCTCTCCATCGGCCGCTCCATCTACAACGACACACGGCTCATCCTACAAAAACTAGAAACCTTGCTCTTTATGAGGGCTTCGCAGCTGATTCCGGCGGATATGCCGCTTTTGAAAGTTAAGGGGTTTCAGAGGGATCGGGAGGAGTATACGGGAAGGAGTTGGAGTAGGGAGGGGATTGAGAGGGTGAGGGGGGAGGCGCTTGTGGATGTTAGGGGGGCTTTTGAGAGGGTTGAGGGGCTGGTGTTTGGGGATGGGAGGGAGTGGGTGAGAGGGGGGG